TTTTTTTAGAAATGTAACGCAGAAAGAACTTGATAATATAAATGCCTTGCTATATTCCGCGAATGTGCCACCCATAGTTATATAAGGGGCCCTTGTCAGTGTTTTTGCCCTGAGGAGCCCATCCTGGCTCTCGGCGGGCCTAATGACCACCTTTTGTATTTCTACAAGTTCATAATCTATACTATTCATTTATGTTCAAATTTTATTTTATGTCAGATTGGTAAATATAATAAAATGTTTATAAAAACCTGCAAATCTAAATGTAAACTATATTATTATTATTATTAATTATATACTTTATTGATTATGGGCTAGTTATACTACCCTACTCTAGGTACAATATCGATATTAGTATTTGTTTTATTTTTATGTTAACATTTTCTCCCTTCAATAAAAACAAAATATTTATCATCTTTCTAATCAACTACTCTATAAATATTCAATGTTTTTAAAAATCTCTTACCATAATCTGAGAAGATAACTGTTTGGAGGAACACAACCTGTAGTAGACAATAACGATAACAGATAAATTTCTGGCATCCAAAAATCCTTGATGATGACTGTTCGGAACAGCAGCACACCTGAATCAAAAGAATACAATGTCAGTTTAACTCATGTTTCTGAGCTTAAGTTGCATATTTTGCTTTTAATGGTTAATTATCCTTCTTTTCATTACCAAAGAGAATTACGCCCCCTAACTGTTCCTAACCAATTTTATTATAATTTTTCGAAACCGTAAGTTAAATAGTTTCTGAGATACAGGCGCTAAGGGCGCTTAAGATTTCTTAATGATACACCCTGCATACTAAAAATAAAAAAATCTGCCAACCTTTAAGTTATCTGGCAATTCCGATCTCTTCCTGTATAGCCCAGATTCATCGTAATAATGCACACGTTTAGAAAGTGGGATTCAATTTAATTTCAATCCCTTCAAAGTTCAATTTTTCAGCGTGAGCTCTGACTGCTTGAACAATCAACAAAATATGTGGGGCGGCGACTACGGATAACAATTCGATATCAACTCTGTTCTATTCATCGAAGTAGACCTGAAAAATGATAAATGTGGATAAAGAAGAATAAAAACAGATTGCCCAAGCACCACTAGAGGCCATTCCCATGGCTTCTCCGCAAAGTGCCCCAGCTTTTTTTTTTTTTCGATATATGGCCTAGGTGTATATACCTAATATGCCAGTCTCAAGTTTGCGTTTTAAATTCTCAATCATGTTATTGTTTCCCAGCGCCACTTTAGGAACAGAACCCAAACGGTGAATGGTCGAGTGGGGAATGCTACCAAAAGGCATCAGAATTAATTTTAAATAAATAAATTAAATAAAAAAATGCCGGACAACGGTGGGATTCGAACCTGGGACCCTTGGATCCGCAGGCAGAGACTCTACCACTGAGCCACCTACTCCCTGTGCCGAGCTGTTAATATAATAATATTACTCTCCCTAATTCACCCCCTTACGAGTGAATTTCAACCTCTGAAGTCGACTGAACGACTTGTGTAGGGGAAGGGACGGTTATTATTATTATTTGCATGCATACATTGGCCGAGTGTTTCCGAAGTTTCCGCGGTATTTAATGTCGCTCACAGATGGAGCTTCATTTCAAGAACATATACCTTCTTCGCCATTTTCGTCCATGTTAATTTGGATCAAAACAGAAATCTAGTGTCTATACTGTTTGAAATATCATCAATAGATGAGGCCTCTAGCACATCTTTACAGAATTCTACTATTTCGTCTTTGTTTTGCCGATGCATTCATAGGTGGTGTCCCCATAAAAAAATCTGCCATCTTATATCCAACATTTTTGACAAAACATGGCTCGGAGTGAAGCAATTTTTTTTACCTATCAAATATTTTTGGATAAACAATTTTTGATTCCGACTTCGCTGAAACATGATACAGAGAATTATTATGTAAAACATACTAATGTCAGATTGTATCAAATCTTCTTTAGAAATGTTAATTAGTTTTTCCGTCGACCGACCATTTATGATGTCTCAAAATCGTTGAATGATTTTATATTAATCAACGATTTTATTAAATGCAACCTAACGTACATTGCTCTTATTATACATTTATATTAACAGTTACCTATGGTGTAGACAACCAAACATACATATAGATTATTTAATTTCTTAAAATTCAAAAACTATGCATAGTTTAAAATGAAAAGATGGATATTGACGAAGAGCTTAATTTAACTCCACCATTTATCAATTCCTTCATTTACTTTTAGTAATTGTACAATTTCTAATATTAATATTTACAATAATAAAACTACCACTGAGGAAAATTAAACTAACTGTGAATAAAGTTAATATAAATAGAAAATAGTAATTGTTGTTTTTCGTTAAAATAAAAATTAAAAGTAAGATATCTTTATTTTTGAAAAGTACGGTCGACGGAAAAGTTCTGTAACGAATTCGTGAATTAAAATGGAGATTAACAATTTCGAACATTAACGCGCTCGTTCTGTTCGCGCTTGAAATTATCTCGATTGTTAGTCGCCCTTATTAATACACTTGTTCGTTAAATAACAATTATGATCACATAGAGAAATTAACAAAATCCTCCGTCACATAGTAATATAACTATGCTTGGAAGTGTAAACATCTCACAAAAGACAAAAAACAACTTTTCAATATTTATTTTACGGAAAATATCGGATTACATCGATTAATCAATTTGTAAATGCCAATTACATCATTTAGATTAGGTTCAAACAATATTTATAACTAGAAACTTTTATATACAAAACTTTCATAATACCTACATACATACTTCTCAACATTTTACATTAATATCACAGATGGTAAAATTAAAATATAAGCATATCTTTCATCCAGGCTTTAATTAAATTAGAATCATTTTGATAGAGAACTATTTATGGCACATATTGATATGTACTTATAAATAACTGATAAATTAATCAAAAACAGCACAAATAGTTTTCTAGCGTATAATGATTAATTGTAAAATATTCATTCATAGAGTTTTATGGGCTCATAATATAAAATTCTATGAATAATAGTAAAATAAACACAGTTTTATGCCTAAATACAATTATTAAATCATCCATATTTACACAATTAGTTTTTATATAGTACATTTATATTTTCAAAATAAAAACATTAGAATACCCTGCTTATTTTTATAGAACCTTTTATAATTCCCCACTAATTGAAAATACCTACATATATTGACTTAATTTACTTCTGATATTTGGGTGAAGAGTTAGTTTTCACATACAGATTAGCTTACCAGAAATATTCTTGCTCTGAGTTAATAAAACGTTCCTTAAAAGTACGATTTTTTGTAGATTTGGCAACGATATTTAATTTGTATAAAACAAAGAGGTGCGAAGGGATGGATATAACAGGTTCTTTCGTTTGCTGTTGGTGCTGTGTCCACCAGTGTAATTACACCACTTACCTAGTTTTACTTCCATCTTTATTCCTTATACACTTGTCGAGTGTAATTCACTCCTGCTAAATAGCTGGTGGAGAAGGTATCCACCAGTATTTTATACCGGGCCAAATGATAAAGGCATATTGTCCGTTGGTGTAGTTTATTTCTACACCAGTGGGACGAACGAAAGAACCTTATTGTTATTATTTGACAGAACTGTCATGATAAAGTCCAAATATTTACCGTACTCTTAAGTCCAGTGAAAATTTGTAGACTAAGGGTGAGATTACAGAGCGTCTGCAACTTTGCAGATCTGCAAATATGGCGGCAACTTTGCAAATCTGCAAATATGGCGGACTTACAGATGCAAAAAATATCTGTAAATTCGCAATATTTATTACCCCTAAATCCAAATCCACCCTTAAGAAGGTCAAAACATCCTACAACCATGAAGTCTTCTGTTTCTTTTGATTGAATACAGTTCATGGTGTGAGATTATCGTGTCTTTAAACATAGGGTTTAGTGTTGTTGGGCGTAATAAACCACAATAAATATTGCGAATTTGCAGATCTTTTTTGGAATACGAAAATTTGATACTTGCATATGTAAGTCCGCCATATTTGCAGATCTGCAAAGTTGCCGCCATATTTGCAGATCTGCAAAGTTGCAGACGTTCTGTAATCTCACCCTAAAGTAAATCAACCAGTTAACTTCATTGGAGGTTTTTGCACGACTTGAGCGAAAAGTTGTGTTGCGGAACGCACTCCTGTTGATCTATTGTCTTTGACAGGGTCAATGCTATATATAGTTATCTAGATTGCTCAAAGCGGATCGTTTTGCAAGCGTCCAAATTGCCCAGTAAGGGTTCATTAATCAGAATCAATCTTTTAAAATCAATTTTCAACCTTTGCATATAGTAAAAAATATTTACCTTCATTTTAACTTCAAGCCATGAACATGTTTACTTTGTAAAACATAGATGATCAATTTATAAAATTATCTATATCATTGACCCTGTTAAATCACTAGGCCCACAGGGTCAGGGTTGCGATATCATAATCTGTCATTACCCACAGGCAACCAGTTTGTTTGGAATGCCTAATGGTGCAAATTAAATTCGTTGAAAAAAAAAAACAGAAACCGGTCGATTGCGTTTTGTCAGATATCTTTAATTCATGAAGTCATCTGTGTGAACGTGATGACGTCATCGACAATTTATTAAATAGAAATATGGTTCAAGGTTCATGCGATACATCAATTTCCAGTAAACATCGGAGTTACCTAATTAACTTGACCAAGTTAAATTTTTATATTATTATGTTTTGAAAAATAATTGAAACACTTTTAAATAATCTATGTTTCACTTAAAAAATCATCAGGCTTATATAGATGACGTCACAAATAAAATTAATATCGGACAGACCACGCGCGTTTGAAAACTAAGAAGTTTTTATAGAAGTCAACGAATTATGAAATAATGAATTTAATCACACTGTATATATCACTGATGACATTAAAGTCTAGAATATTTAAAATTTAAAAATATACGAACGTCATAACAAACCAACCACTTTTAACAAATTACAATATAGTCGGTTGCGAAGCATTTGATCCTCCGTTATTGACGTTACTTTTTGAAACGTTGTCTCTACTGTCGCACAACATCGTATTTCGACTGTTGACTGTCACAGCTGATGTTGATGCATCTCCTTTACTGACTACTAGGGGGCCAACATCTTGGTCTTCATCGTTGTTCACGCAGAGGGACGTTCCTCTGGTTCTACTTTGTTTTAACCTGCCAAAAGACAAATTTCGTTAAAATAAAATGAAGTGTTTCTAGAATTGAAAGATCTATTTTCTAATTGTTAAGCTTGGCGTTTCTAAAAACAACTTAGGTATACATTTTGAATGTCGTTTGGTAAATTTCAAAGCAATTTAAGAGTTAAGGGTATGGTCCGGTATGAATAACAGAGATTCCCGAAAAAAAAAAAACAATAATTAGGCATTCCAAACAAAATGGCTGCCCGTGGGTAATGGCAATCCTGTGGGCCTGGTTATTTTATAGGGTCAATGATGTAGATAGTTATATAGACTGATCATCCATGTTTTTAAAATAAACATAGGCTTATACCTTGAAGTAAAAATGTAGGCAATTACTTTTTACTATATTTAAAGGCTAAAAATTGATTATAGGACACATTTTTGCTAAGCCAATTCTGTATCTGTATCATTAACCCTGTCAAAGACAACAGGCCGACAGGGTAGGTAGCCATATCATTTTTCAGGTAACCGCGTTCCTAATTTAACCAGTTTTTCAAAAATGTCAAGCAGATTGGTTAAGTTTGAATATTTCGGTTAATATATCGGACCATACCTTAAAATTTGGTTACGTCAAGGGTATCTCTTGAGTTCTAAAATATGAATTTCATTGAAATTCTTGGCGAGATTAAAAATTTCCTTTAGTAGGGCTTACCAGACAGACTGCTTCTTCATTTTCTATACCGTTGGTAGCAGCCACATTCAGTCTTTTCGTTGATTGGAAACCTAACCTATGTGGACCCATATTACATCGATTTTTGTTTAATTAAAATGATCACATCCAGCTCTGTGACAACTATCTAAAGAAGACTCTGATTATCTTACAGAGTGGTTTAATTTTATTCCAAGTAAAAAGTTTTGGAGAACTACGTTATTTCCAAGATAAAGATCTTCAAGACAGTGTATTGGGATCACCAGTAAGAATGGAGAACGGAGTAAACCGATATTTACAGTGTGTCTCATTATTTTTTGATCTATTTTTCTTACAAATATATATGTATATCTACGTTTAATTTATTATATTTATTCTAAAATGAGAAAATCGTTTAAATAAAATACACAATTAGATTATTTGATGATGACAGAGTATAAAACAGTGTAGCCATTTTAGGTAAATAACTGAATATTTGAACTTTTCAGATAAATTGTTTAGCTGTTTTGACTTTTATGTGTGTGGGGTATTCATCTTCACACCCTGCACTCTTTTTTCAATGTCTGTCTTTTTTGCGAGAAACTTTTTAATATTGTGTCAAAAATATAAATGCAGAAACTAAAAATTTCTATACGTCTATTAAAAAATGTTAATGGGTATATTTTAAAATTTTTATTTGGATACATACCATCAAATCATGTAGGTAAATAAAAATAAATAATTCTAAAAAAACATTCTTCTTCACATTCATAATAAATATGAGTATCTAGATGCACATCTACTAGCAACTACTATACGACTAGACTAAAAAATATAATACAATGGTAGGCAAAGCGTAACATACAGTTTGTTCTATAATACTAGCAAGTTGTGGGCCCAATGATGGAAACTTCCTTATTTACAGTGATGAAATTTGCGTGGTCCTTTCACTGTAAGAAAATAAAAACAAAAAATGAAAAACTGCAAACAACTAGAAGCGAGATGATGTGTGAAATGCATGAGAAAAGCTGAACTAGCAGAAGCGTCCTTTTAGAAATTAAAATAATAGTCTAAGAGCTAGAGGTCAATCCGAAAAACGTGTGGAAGGTCAGGCTGAAAATTTGTACATTTATAATTTAATACCAGTCGAATAAGGAAATACTGGCAGGAATACTGCGATTGCGACATCCCTTCCAGATCATCAATTCCTCATTCAAGTGGTATTAAATTATAAATCTATAAATTTTCAATCTTGTGTTCCACACGTTATACTCGTTTTGACCGCTAGCTCCCCAACTATAAGAACCCCGATAGCAATTAATATCCTTCGCCATAAAAGACATTTATGAATTTTTTGTACAAATAAAACGCCAATTCAATTATTTTATAGCATAGTATTTTTCTAAATCTGTCGTTGTGTATAATCTGTAGTTTTTTATGCTGCAATTGCTTTCATTATACATTATAAGTATTATATTATTTTTACAATCACACTTCGTCAAATGTATTGACGCAAATGGGATAAGATATAATTTTTTGTTAGTAAAAAAATGGGAGCGCTAACATAGTTTTAGTTTTGGCATCGGGGAAATTAAGTTTTAAAAAGTTTCGGTAATATCGTGAGTTGGAAAGAAGTTATATATATATAACCAAAAAACGAAAACTTTCACAGAGTTTACGATTCATTTTAAATTAAAATTGATGTAAGTAGAGACGCATCCAAAACTCGAGGATTTTGTTGTTTGTTTGAAAGATTGATGAATATTTAACTTTATTTTCATACAAAAAATAGTTAACAGCTTATTATGGAGAGCCAAAACAAAACAGTAAATTGCTATAGTAATAATATTTATAAAAACAGAGAAAAGTACAGATAATTATGTAAATTTGTATTATAATAAAATAATGAAAAAATTAAATTTCAAGAAAGAAATAACTTAATAACTTCTCCTAGTCACATAGTGCTGCAACTGTTAATAATGATAAATTCTTAATTGTCTATTATAAGAAGTTCAATATCTGGTAATATTGATCTAATTTTTTTATTAAAAGAAGCACATTATTATATTTAGCTTCTTCACAGCGTTTTACAAACCTACTTTGTAACACGACTAAATTATTTCTGAAATTTTCGATTTTGTCACGTTTTAGTTACCCTCTTAAATTTACGAATGTTTGGTGGTATCATCTCTTTTTAAATTGTATTCTTTGAAACAGCAACAGCTTCATTACATATGAGACAAACTGGCCTGTCCTTACAAATAACAAACACCTATTCTGGTGCCCACTTGACATATAAGTTACGACGTTTTTAATCAACCTTTCTGTATTTACTACTTGAAGGTCCCGACATGTTTTACGAATAAATATTTTCAGAGTTACAAAAAAAATCGTGACAATATTACCTCAACTTTTGGACTTTTAAAAGATAAGACACTTGATCACACTTTCATCGATTTTTCCCTAGATCTGGCGAACTTTGTGGAGTAGATCTAGCAACACAACACCTTATGATTCAATGATACCGAAATGCAATAGCGCTTCTCCAGTAGAGCATCCAAATATAAAGATAAACAGCCATATGGGATTGTCCGTCTTTCCTTTACACTCCATAGCTACGATTCTGATTAAATTCGTAGAATTTGTCATTAGATTTCAAGATTAGATCAGTTCAAAGCCTTTGTAGGGAACAATTTATAAAAAAATAGCTGTCACTTTATATTGGTTTCAAAAGGAGTGAATGTTCTATTAAATAGCCTACTTCTTACGTATAGATAGCGGGTGGTCTAAGCATCTTGCTTAAAACCTTGAAAATATTTAAATTTGTCTCATATGGAGCTATAGCTACGAGTACAAGTAACAAAAAATGATAAAAAGACGATTTACAGGCTTTTCCATGAAAAAAACAATGGGTACTATATTTTGTACTATTTACAATTTCGTGAAAATCCGTTTTGTTCGGGTGTCCAAATCACTCTAAAATTAATTTATAATTATTATATACTACATTTTTTTACCTCTTATATAGTTTCGGGTGCGTCTACTTTCATCGCATTATATTTCAATACTCACCTTTCGGAAACGTGTTTGTTTTTTTTGGGAAAGACGCTATTCTCCATTTGCAGCGTAGCGTTGACCTCCTTGTTCGCCGCACAAGTGCAAGCTTTTACGAAACTCTTCTTGAAGTTGTCGCTCAAAAAGGCGTAAAGTATCGGATTGACGGCCGAATTCGAGTAGCTCATGCAGGATGCCAGCACGTGAAGGGTGATTGAAAATCTGTGAAATGAACGCCATTTTGCAATTCAATCAAATTAAATTTATTCGTTTTCGTACAAATACGGTGGATAATGTTATAGAAACCAATTTCTGTACACTGTGTCTACACCACTTATATGTATACTTAAAATTTTCATCGATGACTTCTTGACAGATACAGATCTATTATTATTAACTAAAAATTAGACGAATGAAAGATACTTCAGTCCCCCGTAGTTAAATACGCCATTTTATGAACTTTATGAAACGAAGACTAAACAAAGCAATTGCGATGTCAGTGCAGTGTTGACTATTGTACTTTATACTGTATTTTCGGTTGCAAAGTATATTGTACTTTTAATCCCTAGGATGTCTCAAAAAATTATTAACAAAAAAATTGTCCTAAACTATTATTAATTTAATATCATATTAATATATATATATAACAACTTACGTGTCATCACTATCGCTGATAGCCAACTGAGTCACCCAATACGGCAGCCAACATATAATATACACCGTCACCACTATCAACACCAAATTGGTGACCTTCCTATGCGACCTTTTCTTCTCCTTGGACTTGTTCTTCGGTCCGACGTTCTTCAATTTCAAAATCACCAACCAGTAGAAATATACGATGAGACACAAGGGTAGGGCGAACCCGAAGATGAACATGTACCATGTGAATATCTGCGCTGACGCTGCGCTATCGAATTCTTCAGTCCCATTGGAGGAAAACGTGTAATTTGTATCGGAAGGACTCACTTCAATGACACAGGATGTTTTACCATCGTAACTCACCTCTTTTGAATGCTGGATGATCGGAATTATCAGCAAAATGCTAAAAGTCCAAGCGAATAGAGAGACGATTTTTGAAATGAACGGTGTCCTCCATCTTGGAGAGGAGATCGGGTGACATACAGCTATGTACCTATCAGCGCTCATAATACAAAGTAAAATAGAGCTGGTAAACTGGTTAATACCAGTAGAGAGCATATAGGCTTTGCAAGCAAAATACCCGAAAATCCAGTGACGGTTCAACATCGTAGTTATCAGAAACGGAATACCTATTAGAAAACATTCATCTGCTATCGCTAAATTTACTATGTACATGTTGGTCACCGTTTGCATTTTGGAAAATCTAATGACGACATAGATGACTAAGGTGTTACCTACTAGACCGACTATGCAAACTATGGTGAATAAGATGGTTTGGATTATTTGAACTACCAGCGGATAAGATAGTTCTTCTACTTCGGTTGAATTGCCGGTTATGTTGCTCATGGTTATTTTTGCTTAAACGCCAGACGTCATTTGGCTTGAAAATCTGAAAAAAAAACAATTTATTGTAGACATTTTCAATCTATCTGAATTAGGGAATGGTTCAAAATTCACACTAGGCTTATTGCATTCCTTTCAATTCTTATATCCAAAAGATTTTGAAACAGGTAGTTTTCGCAATAAAAATAATGTACTGTTCTTTTATTCTTTTTGTGTTTCTGTTCACTAAAGTTAAACTTTGCTTTGTAGAGCGATAATACAGAAGTGAACTTTCTAGAAGCTACAGGAAGCGTTTTTAACTTCATTATAATGGAAAGAATTAGTTTATGTACGATAAAATTGAATTGCACTTTGTAATAATTTTAACTGACAATTTGGAAAAGGCTAAATTCGTTAGAAAATTGCAGATTAGATCGGTATAAGGTTATTATACTGTATCTTAAAAGTAGGTACACGAGGTGTATGTGTATGTAAAATACGATTTAGAATGATTTGCTATAATTTTTTTTTCTGATTTGAATAGGGTACTATCTTTTAAAAGGTCAATCTACCAACGAAAATATTGTGATGGCCTTCTGAACACATTAAAAGCAAAAATTACAGAAAAACAAGTGGAATAGATAGAAAAAAGATGCTGTTTCATCACGTACCAGTCAAATAAGTTATAACAAGTTATATCCAAATATTTTCTCGGCACATTCAATGAATAAAAGTATTAGCAATATCCACTTTACCCAAATGTCTTTGATTTTACCAAAATTACGTTTTAGCAATTTGGACAAAAGGAAACTCACTTCCAAAATAATGTCACAATCTAAACAAGTTATTTATTGATATGACAATACAACTGCTATAACTATGAAGACTAGTCTTCATAGCTATAACATATGCTATATACACACCTATTATTTACGTCATGACATACTAAAACACAGTAAGTAACATCTAAAGCTAGTTACATTTACTTGGTCAGTAATTTAGTTGATGTAATGGCGAAGTCTAATTAAGCCAACTGGCATAGAAGCTTCTACTGCAGCGCTAATGAAAGTTATCTACACAATAGACTGCAAGAGCAATACTTAAGTCAAATTGTATACCTACCTTTATTCAGCTAGTTAGTGTAGGCTAAATATATCAACATAAAGCTAGAAAAACGTTGTTGTATTCTTAAAGTATACCACTCATCAGTAATTAAACATTCATTGAATTAGTGCAGAAAAAGTGCATACTTTTTATTAACTAGTGATCGTGATTAGCAGTTCTTTTATCTACTTTAAACAACTGTAGGCTGATTATATTATTTGTCAGCTGATTAGACTAATGGGAAGAGACTTATACAGGCAAATTAGACTTCTATTATTCGACCTACTTAAAATGTTTGTTGGGTAATTATAGCAGTAAAAATTTTTTTACCTATTAAATGTCCATTATCAAAAGAATTCAGTATTACGAAGTCACAAGCCATCCATTTTTAATTGGAACAGGATCTGTAACAAAATAGAACAGTGTATTAGTTTATTTTTTATTTAATGTTTATAATTAAAGACATACGTAGATAAAGAGCTTATATACATTTTTTTTTTAATTCATTTTAAGCAACTATGTTCTGTTATGATATTGTAAATAAAGATTTTACAAAGGATCTGTTGGATATATATCCAACATATTTCATTAATACATCAGGCTAGCCTAGCCCTGAGTACATCAGAAAAGTTTTTACATAGTTTCTACATAGTTCTTCTCTCTCGCAGTGTCTAAAGTAAAAACGGAGAACAATAGATACATTGTGTTGGCCATCATTACTGGCACTTTCATTCCGTAGTCCAGTCGACAGAATTCATTAATGCATTGGACCTTTAGTCCAGGAAACAAAAAAAAAATAGAGTCAGAAACAGCGTCTAACCAAGTTTTTGACTATAGTGAATCAATAAATGCAGACAATCACACTACAACAGGTAATTTCAATCGTGGTAATACCGTTGGTCATCAGGATCGTATTTAAGTGGTGTAAATAATCGATTTTTAAACTCTAAAGCCCTTTTTAATACAGAATCTATTTTCTAAGGTTAACTATCTAAATAAAAAAAAATAACAATCAAATATCAATTTTTTGAATAGATTGAAAGCGCTTTCTTTAAAGATAGGCCCATATATTTATTACTGCATATAAACTATAAATCCAAAAGATAAGATTGTCTAGGGATTACGACACTTACTTGAAAGGGTTCAAATATATTTATAGTTCCAGTAAATATACTTGAAAGGTTTCAAATGTATTTATAGTTCCAGTAAATATATTGGATAACGTAGTAAGGCAAACATAATTTCTGCATACATTTTAAAATCAAATACAAGTAAACAAAGCTTTTGTTTTGAATGAATAATTAATTTTTTCAATTTTTTTGTTTAGAATATGTTTTATATGGGGATATATTTGTTAATTTATGTTCATTTATTACAATTTTCTACTTTGTTTTTAAAAAGCAATCAACATTGTTATTTTTATATCAATTTTAGATGAATGTACTGTATGTAAGGAATATTTAATTATTAACTACGCACATGTTTTCTTCTTTAGGTGTCTTCATTTTATTTCATTGCAAAACTAAACTAATAAAAAGCAAATTTATAATCCAATATTAATGGAAATAAATTACTTTAATTTTAATCTCATTTATGTCACGAGAAATAGAACTTTTTTACGAACTTTCATAATACTTAATTACTTTATCGATACTGTTTGCGATTAATATCATTAAATTTAAATTTATTTTACCGTTGCTCATTTAGAAAATGATTTATTTAATGTTTTCGAATATCCTTGGAAGTATTTTCCGTATTTTGAAGGACACGTGGATCCTTCATCATTGTCAGTTCGACTGGTTTACCTTATCGAATTTATAGCTAGTTGCTAAATTAATATTTATACGAAAAATTCATTCTCAACTTCTTTTTCTTTCATTTTTAACTTTCATTCCTAAATTCCACTCTTAACTTTTATTTTCATATACAAAAATGGTATATTTCAATGTTAAACACATAATTTAAAACAACTAGTTCCTTTAGAAGAGTTAAAGTCATTACAAAATATTTGCTAATATTAATAATACATACAAATTACCAATGTCTTTTTGTACCATTACACAATTCCTTACAGTGTGTATATTTTAAAATTATAGACAAATCATTTATAAAAAGTACAAACAATAGCGGGCCAAGATTAGATTCGTGTGGAACACTCGATTTAGTTGAAAACTTAGCTGACAAGTATTGAATAAATTATGTTTACTGCTTTTCTATTGAAATCAATAATTTTCTACATATTATCATTTAAACTAAACATTACATAGGTATCTGTAAATAGACGTGATATGTTTTATATCTTTTAAGGAAAATGACAGCGCAAAATTAAATTTCCAAACTCAGGCACGATGAAAATGTAATCCTGGTAGGTAATAAATTTGAATTTTTGGTGTCTATGGGAAATGCAATGCCTATGTAGGGACGTAGGGAGGGAGAGAGAGCGAACATATTTTATATTTTAATACAAGGAAGTCGCAGGAAGAAGGTCAAGAGGTAATAAATGGTGTTTGATGATGAATATTCATTGATGCGTTAAACGTATTCCGCTAAAATATATGGAAATTGTGTCATGAATATTTGAATATCAGGTAGTCGAGATACTAAGAATTAACTTATCATTATTCTTTGGCGGAATTACAACCAGAAATATTATTTTCGTTTGCCCTTATTAGACCAACATGTAGGCATTCATTACATTTGGAACATTTGCTTGTTTTGTTCACTTTAATGTTGAATCAAGAACTAGGAATTGACTATTGTTACATGAAATTAAACATTTAACAAATTATGGTTATCATAATCCACTAAAACGCTTATCACATGAATTAAGTCCCCTCTCGTGTTTCAGTGATATAGTTATTTTTTAATTCATGTAGAATGTTTAAAAAGAATATTACAAAGTTAGGAAAAAGGTTTGCGTACTAATTTTTTAAAGTTAAAAACATTAATGCTGCCGATATGATAATTCCTATTATATTAAAAACTACAATTACTGATCATGACAAAAAAAAAATAAATTTATCAGTAAGACAAAATGGCTTTAAAGAAAAAACTTCAACTGTTTATGCTGTTCTTTAACTGACTAAAAAATCCATGAATCTATCGAAAATAGCAGACCATGCTTGTTTATTAATTGACTTAAGTAAAGCTTTTGACACTGTTAGTCACACATTATCACTCCAAACCTTAGAGAAAACATATTAGAACTTTTTAAAAGTTACTTGAGGGAAAGAAAACAAGTGGTAAAAGTGAAAGATAAATTAAGCAAAGAAACAGCTTTGAATATAATGTATCACAAGGTACTGTTTTAGGTCCGATACTTCTTAATTTATATGTAAATGAATTATTTAGTTTAAATTCAGCAGGAGACATAATAGGATACTCAGATGACACTGAAATTTTCTATAAAGCAGATAAATTTAAAGAAGTTAGTGGAAAATGATGTCAAAATAATAAAATATTGGTTCGACTATAAACTATGAATCTAGACAAAACTTTTAAAAATAGAAATAGAAATTTTGTTTGTCATCGTTAACTTTGGCTATTTCAAACCTCCTGTGCAAAATTTATTAATCAATGATGTGCAATGGATTTTATATTGAATGGGGGTATAATAACGATATGTATACGTCGTAAACCGCAAATAAAATTCCAAAAATTCCTGGTAAACAATTTAAAATTCCTGATATTATATATGGAAAGTAATCCGAGCAATCTTAACTTTTGCTTGAAAATTTATGATTTTAATGAATTGCGTTGCTTTTGATAAATCACTTCATTGTCATTCCAAGTATAATACAAATGGACGGATTCAACGGAATAAAAAGCTGTTTTCCAAGACAGAATGTATAGCATCTTGATTGATAAGAATGTCCTCTCTACGCTACCCAGTGATATATAGCATGCCATTGATCTCTTTCCACATTGACGGTCTCATCCAACCACAATGCTCCAAGGGCGGATCGTAAGGGAGGAAAAAGGAACCCTCTGTCCAGTTTTTGTAGTCACTAATACATTATCAGTAATGAATTCACTAATAATTAAACATCTCAATAATAATCATAATACAGGATGTACCAGAAGTATTGAGAATTGTTAAGGAATGGATAGTTTGACTCAAAAAAACTTATGTTTCGACAAAGTTAGTATTATTTTATTAAGGTAAAAAAGTTTTAAAATAATAATGAAAATAATGGCCCAGCGAAATTTATCTATAAGAAAATATGTTCACTCACTCACCACTTTAAAATGTTGGAGAGAAAAAAAAATGGCCCACCGATATTGGTGGCAATAATGAAGGGTGCTGATAGTAATAAAATTGTTATAAAATATCCAATTCACAAGCTGTTAAATAAGTTTCAATTTTTTTCTTGTAGAAAGTCAGCAATTTTTATAAAAACTTTTTGAATATTGATTCTTATTAGAATTCAATGAAAAAAGAAAAAGGTAACCTTCTTTGTTTTGAAAATAAAAAGAACCATTTTTCAGAAAAAAATTTAGGAAATACACAATTCTTAGGTGCCTTAAAAATTATTTACTGAATTCTAGTTCAGAGGGCGTATAAATTTTAAAAAACTCCTTCCTTTTTATTTTTATTTTGTAATTATCCTCTATCTACTCTCCCCGCCTAGACAATAAATTATGTTTGCCAGGAAATCAAAAATATAAAAGTTTTTCAAGCGTATTTTCATTATCCAGTTGCGATGAAGCACTGCTCATAAGTCTTGAAAAATCCATGTGACGAAACGATTTTCCGTAACAAAAACCTGTGGAAAACCTCTGCCAAGCCAAACACGACATCTTTCCCCAAATTATGTACCATAGGCGGCGTGACAATACTTTTTCTTTTGAAGAGCAAGTAACAAGATTACACAAATTTTCCAATACAAATTTTAATTCTCTATTTTTTTAAATAACATTCTACCCATAGGTGCTTACAGTTTTCTATTAATTTGTTAAAATCCCTTTAACATAAGCTATTGTTCTTCTTTTTATGTCTTTGTGAAATTGTTTTTAATTGTTATCTGTGGTCAGTTTAGATAACTACTGTACCAATGAACTCTCTACTTAAGTTTGCTGAAGTACTATTCAGACATGTTGCAAATGCAGCTATAACTCTTGCATAAGCTTCTATTTTTACAGATAAACCGAAAGAAAATCAGAGGTCTTCAAAATATTTTATATGAATCGAAATCACCTATAATTATTATTTGGTTGTTTTCAAAATGGAATATTGTAAGAGTAAAGATCTAAACATTGTTTTAAATTACTTTTTCTCGTACAATAGATTGGCGTTTTACACAAAGTACACTCGTATACTTTTTTCCTAATCTGTATGTATCCCACGTTGCCATACACTTTGTTTAAGTTGATCGACTCGTATTCCATAAAGGAATATTTATAAAATTGACTTCCTATATCATTTCGAGGTTGCTTTATCTCCACATTCCACGAACAGGATAATTATAATGGTGCCATTTTCTAATAAAAGTTGCGATGCGATGATCTGATATTTTAATGCTGAGCAGGTAAAAAGTAAATTAAAAAGTTGTACGAAAGTCGATCGATTTCTGCGGGGGCAAAAAATGAGAGCTTAGGATTTAATCGAGACCCAGACTCGAGGAGTTAACAAAAGTTTCAAAGCGAATTCTGGATTTTACCATTTTACGAAAAACGTTTGTTTTTTAATGTAGTGATTTCGGAAATTAAGATTTATGCTCTTGACAGGTTAACTTTTAATGGTAAAAACGTTGTGTACATATTACAGAGCTGGGATAAATACTGAATAAAATAAATTTAAATTTGAGTAATGAAATTGAGGGCTAGACAACCAAATATATAGAATTTAACATAGTGCTGCGTTTTAAAATCTAAATCTGATGGATTTTTTACCTCAGGGGTCTATTTTCAAATTCGAGAGAAAGCGATTTCTCTCAAGATTTTCATGAGCAATTTCATACGTCAACGGAAAAACAGTATTTTTGAAGCCAGTGGGAATTCTTCTAATACTGTTTTCACTTTAACGTATGTCATTTCTCCTGAAAATCTGAAGAGAAATAAGTTCTCCTAAGTTGGAAAATAGCGTTTGTTTATCCACATAGGACACATCTACAATATCTGCATCTGCGTTTGTCCCAGTAAAATTGCTATAATTTTTAAATCACCACATATATCCCATTTGTACTAAAAGGATGCCTATATTTTCATAGTTTTTGTTCATTGTCACTGAATGAACAACTGGTATAAATGATATTAAATTTTTATTATGTAATAACACAACTTTTAAACTCTATTTAGATTAGTATATGAACAAGCGCCACTCACAGGAAGAATGCTCGATATTGAGTTCCTTCAATAACCTCCAATCTTTGTCATGCAAAAAAAAGCAATCGTATAAATGATTGGTGGGTTCTCGCCATACCATTGGAACTGCAAAAGGTATACTTTTTCTCTTCCCTTTCATTCACTGCACCAATGACACTCTACAAGTGACCTAACACACATGAGGAGCCCACTACTTGTTCTGATCTGCGATTGAAACACCAAAATACATAAAGTAGGCTTGTTTAACATTTTCACAAAATGAATTGGTTTGTAACTTCACCAGAAATTCTCCAAAAATATAACAGAACTTTTTTAACTACACATAATCACTAATTTTGATACTCAAAAGAAGAATAAATTTAATGTTATCTTCCTGTTTTAGAATTTACTACCTGTCGATATAAAAGGGTATACTGAGCTCATAGAAAACTGGACGTATTAGGGGGTTTTGAATATTTTTCTAATATTAGAAGGGTATTAACATTGTGAAAATAATGTTACTAAATTGGTGTCGGCCAGTGAATTGTTATTTTGAATGATCCAGCAGTTTTATTTCCTCATTATTATGTTTTATTACTGTACCAAATAATATTTTCAAAAAGTAGTTCACTCCCGTCACCCACCTTGTTTTTAATATCCTCTATTTTCTAGAAAAATTTATACTTTCGACATTTAACTTAACTTTGTTTGTATACAGCTACCGATAAGTATTTATTTCGCCAAACTATCTAATCATATCTGTGCTACGGGTGAATAAACATGGAGTCAAATTGATAAAACCGGGTGAATCAGTTCCAGTAAACATCCTAACGGAGAAAGATTACTTACGGTAAAGTTAAATTTAAATTCAAAACTTTGTCGTAATTTTGAAAAAATACCTTTGTAAAGAAGTGAAAGTTCGGAGTGCTTTTGCCTGGAGGTGGTACTTTTTTAGCAGTAAGGTAATGGCGAACAAACATTTTTAGATATAGTGTTTTAGCCTCACATAAACAAATTTGTTTTTCTGACGTTTTGGTCATGTTTTGGCGTAGATTTGTAAAGTCTCATTATCAAAATTTGGAAATTTATTTAGCAAAACTGTGGTTTGAAGTCTGGAAAGCTGACTGAAACGAAATCAAGTTGTTTTGGAAAAGGGGAAAGGGGAAAAGTGGAAAAGGGTAAAAGGGGAAAAGGGGAAAATTGATTTTGTTTTGTCAATTAGAAATTTTAGAAAAAAATCACACGGTTTCAAGGTTAATACATAGACAATTTACGAGACGAAAGGTGAAAGCAGATGGTGCTGTACGTTAATTAGCCATAAATGCGGGAAATTTAAAACATATTTGTACATTATTATACAGTAAGATATTTTTTTCATCATTTAAAAAAACTGTGAAAATGTCATTTTGATTTTTAATGAAGCGCATTTTTATTACCAAAAACTTGAATTTTAACCTCTGTTCCTGGTAGCTACCGCCTTAAATATTTTAAATAGCAAGATGAGGAAATAATGTTTACTCTTTTTCCAGGAGTATATAAATATTTAAATATTTCAAATATTCGCCTTTGAACAACGGTGTCAAGTAACTTTCACCAAAGAGGGTTAACTTGCGAGTCGGCGCCTTTGATCTTTGTAATACACTACTCGAAATCGGCAGACACGTTTAGCGAGGAGAAAACCAGGATTGTATTTAAAAATTGTAGTTACCATTGAGATCCGTACTTAAAATAGTTGAGCTTGATTTTTTTTTAAAATTTTGTGTCGATATCGCTTTTGGTTTTTGATTTTTTTTTTTTTAATTTCAACCAACCTTTAATCACCCATTTTTGTTATGATTTTTTTCAAAATCAATAAGCTTAGTCTCCTCATAGAGTTTGATTTCAAGTTGATATCATTTTTAATTTTAACCACACCATTTTTTTTTTAAATCAATAGGCTTCGTCCCCTTTTAGAGCTTGGTTATCCGGACGGGCGGATATTTTTTTAAAAGTTGTTTCAAATTTGATGAGAAGGAGCATAATTACTTTCTCAATGATGTGTCGTACTTAATACTCTTTTATTTAAATTGTATTGATTTGTGTGACGGAGGAGAATGACATGTGACAGTTGAGGATATTGTAGAAAAGTCGACCTGTTTTTTGTTCCGGAGATATTGTTAGTTTTTACAATATTCTATTCTAACGCAAGGAAAATTAGTATTAAAAAATATTGAAAACTATACATTGTTACAAATTTAGATGTGTCATTCCAGAAGCCAGGAGCAATACATTTTAAACGTAATCATGGCTCTAAGACATTAAGGATATCCTGACAACGTATCAATTAAACCCTTGTACCGCTTTTGCCCTATTTGTGACCATAAAAGGAATATTAATAATTTATGATGTTTCGCAATTAATCTCCAGTTAGTTTCCTAACTTTGACCACATAATCAAGGATTATACTTTACCTATCGCACATATGCTGCATATCGTTTTAATGACTTTTTGAAGTACCAAAACTTTGGGACAGATGAGAACAGAAAGAGGATGGAAATAATTGAACAAAGTTAAATCATTTCATTTGAATTCTGAGTAAGAAAGTTTTACTGAAATACAGCAATGAAAAGAAATGTATATAGTCTTTACCAACCACTCGTTCAGTTGAAATGAAATATAAAAATGAAAATCTAGTCGGAATACCTTTAAACGTCAAATGAAGTGCTTCCCGTTAAGTTTATCAACGATAATGGACAAACAGGTTGGGAGGTATATATGATTGCTACCTAAAACAAATTAAAATCTTACAGAAAACAATTAATCTAAAATCCTAAAAATTATTTACCAAAAAAAAAGAACTCTACAGACAAACTATTTCAGTAATCTCGGCGATTAAGATTAAGACAGTTACAGTTCATCAAATTTCTAGAGGCTTTCGACGGCTAGACAGAGAAAGCACTACTGACAGGCATCCCGACGGATTTACGCAATGAAAGTACACTCTGCGCATCAAGTATTTCACTATTTCATTCAGACGTAAATGTCAGATATAAATTTCGCTAAAACATTTCTTTTATTTTCGTTTGTGTTTTTTGCTCATTACAGTTTAATAGAACCTAAGTATGGAGTTTAATAGCAAATTAAGAGGCCGCGTGATTAACAGTCAATCTCGCGAAATAATAGCCAATGTTATAGAGTTTATGAGAAGAGAAGGAAACTTTAATTCACCTTCAATACCATTTAAAAATGTAAATGATCGTGTTGCTGCAGCCACAGGAGTATCTAAAAACACTGTCGTCCGCATTTCTGGAGAGAAAAAAAGAATCGATAACCGTGAGATATCGGAATTTTCATCACCAAGAAAAACCATTAAAAAACCAAAAACAGTTAATGATATAGATGAAGCTGCACAAGAATCAAATTTTATTTTTTTATTATTAGATAGCTATTTTTGTTTCTGAGTTGTGTTCATTTACAGGCTCAATTTTTTTCCGTTTCTCCTTTTTGATTTTATATGGGGTTTCAAGTTGTTTTTGACTTATTTCGACGTAAAACACAACAACACACTTTTTTAATAAAGCAAACAAGTGTTAAGAGGTATATGTACGTGTAAACTACAATTACAAAAAATTGATATGAAACCCATGAAACCACCAACAAAAATGTAAAGCTAGCTTCCCTACTAGAACATGGTGTCATTCGTCGAGATAATTTATCGTTTTGTTTAATAGATCAAGAAATGTAAATATTCCCCTGTTATTTTTTATAAAATTATAAGAGAAATAAATTTTTTTCTAAATAGTATAGTTTATTATTTTGTAGAAAAACAAAATTTCGAAAATTTTAGTAATGTTTCAGAAACAACCGTTATTAATAATAGGTACCATTTTCCTTAATAAGGTAGAAATAAAATATAAACTATTTCCACGATTTACAAAGGCCTACAAAAAAATTATAGGTATTTTCCGCTATCCTATAAAATTTATATTTTCTGACTCAATTTGAAGGAATTCCAAAACACCTTTTATGGCATAATAATTATTTTCAATTCTACATACTATCTTTAGCTGCTTTTAAAAACGTTCTAAGAAAGTCCAATCAGACCAATTTAATCCCTAAATTATTCCACACTTTTAAAATTTAATTACCTAAAAATATTAAAAACTATTTAAAATAACTTGTTTAGCAGACTGTACAATAGCTATCTTAGTCACACGTAGCGCGTTCTCTGTCTGGGCGTCGAACACCTCTAGAAATTTGATAAACTGTATTAATTTATAAAACAGTTACTTTCTACTATAAAAACAAAAGTTCTTTAAAAAAAAATTATATAACAAACAAAAAATACAAACAAAACTGTTATCTATATTATAAAAATGTGTTGGTAAGCGCATAACTCAACAACGCCTGGACCAACTTTACCAATTCTTTTTTTTTAATATTCGTTGAAGTCCAAGGATGGTTTTTACGGCGAGAAAAATTTTAATAATTTCCGGGAAAACCCTAAAAACAGCCCTCTTCTTTTTCCCATATATATTTATATAAAAATGAATCCCTATTTCTCTTGGTCACGCATCACGCGTGAACGGCTGAACCGATTTCGCTAATTCTTTTTTGTTGTGTTTGTTATTGTCAGGAGAAGGTTCTTATGAAAGAAAAAATTAGGAAAATTGAGCGAAAAATTAGAAAATTTCTATATATATAAAAATTAATCCTTATTTCCCGAGATTCGAAAAGAAAAAACTTTAAAGGCACAAAAAATAATTCTAAATAAAATTTTTGATTTACCTAGAGATATAAATCTTTTTATGATTGATAAAATAATTAATTCTGAGTTTAAATTTAATGAAACGAATGACTTATTTGTTGCAGAAATAATATCAAACAAAAACAAATGCTGTAGGAGATGATGGTTTGAATATTAATATTATAAAACTTTGTTGTCTGTATACGAGTATAATTTGCATCATAATAAATATTATGAATTTCTGTTGGCTGCATAAAATATTTTCAGATGTATGATGGAAAAAGACCGTTGTTTAAGTATTACCCAACAAAAAAATCCTACAGAGTTCAAAGATATAGGACCTATTAGTATTTTATCTAGATTTTAAAAAGCAGTTTGAATTTCAACTCAAAGAATACCTACATTAAATGTATACATATAACGCTCTATTAATGAGAATTTCAACGAGATTTTAGTTACATCAATACCCAAAATTTGGGTCAATTTACAATTTTAGTTCTTTTTGGTTTCAGTAAGTTTTTATGACAATGTCAATTACAAACTTTTGTTGGCTATTCTTGGCTATTAGCTTATATTTACATGATCGCGAACAGATGAGTGTGATTGATGACAATAGTTCTAATTATGCGAGTATAACATCCCGTGTACCTCAAGCTATCATTATAGGTCCTTTTATACACTTTTGCCTAGTGGAAAATGTGGAGTTTCGCAATAGTTATCTACATGCAGATGACACACACACCCATTCAACAGAGATTTAAAAATGTTCGATAAATTTACCCCTGTTCATTGTTTACATATCAATTATAGTAAATATAGTTATTTTTTGGTTCTAAATTTTTTTTTTAATTGTGGCAGACAAGTATAGACATACTCTTTTCCAGGTAAAGCTAAAGTCGTGATGACGGTGACCGCTGAAGATTTCATGAACAATACAGAATTCGAAAACGATCCATTCGCCACAGTAGATGAGAATGTCATCAACGAAGCTCCTCCATCTTCCTTAGTCAACGTCTTCGGATACTATTTCATCGTCACCACCATTATTAAACTGATACTCATTCTAGCAGTCATAGCGGGAAACATATTTCTAGCCATCGTCATAATCAGATTCAAGAGATTAAGAGCAGTTAGAAGCAATGTGTTTATCCTGCATCTTTGTATATTGAACATCGTTTACTATCTTTGTTCTCCTTTGTTTTTGACTTTGGGTCATATTATGTCAAGTTACGAAACAGTTACTACTTTTACTTTACAAACGCAAATGACATTGTTGACGTTGTACATGACTTTCGCTGTTTGTTTGGCTGTGGATTGGTTTTTGACTGCTAAAAAGTCGCAATATATGAAATTATCAGAGAAATATTACCGTTTTATTTATGTCGCGATGTATTTGTTGTTTTTAATAGAATGGGCTATATCTTTGGCCTACTCTGAGATTCAACACATAGCAAGAGCTGGATTATTTTTTATATTCTATGTAATATATTTGATTGTTCTTATAGTGTTGAATATATTGAAAAAGAAGCTGAATTTGAGGAGCCAGGCCAAAAAAACCGAGTACTCTTTATCGGTGTCAAACATTATTATATTTTCTTTTCTACCTATCTTCCTTTTCCACATAAATTTGCACATTGTTGTTGATAATGTTGCTATAGTCATGCTGTTTTTAGAAATCTTCCCCGCTCTCATTGAAATCGGTCATCCTCTTTGGATTATATACTTGTTAGGGAGGCAAAACAAGTATTTCAAAATGGCTTATTACAAGTCCTTCAAACGGTCTGTTAGAGGTTATGTAGATGAAGATTTGGATGCCATTTCTGAAGAAGAGGATTTTAGAAACATTCTAACTCCGAGTACGTTTCAAGTGTCTGTTAATGGGTTACAAGAAGAAGTTTAAGTTTTCTTTACTGTTTTTTTATTCAATAATAAAATATAATTAAAAAAAATCGAGTATTCTAATTATTTACCAGCATTACTTTTTGAAGAAATATCAAAATAGAAATGAAGAAAAAAAAATGAATTGATACATAAAGAACGCACCACCTCGTATACATTTACATTACTCGTTATACAAGTTTATGACTAAATTATAAAGACATCGTAATTTAGCAGAATAAATAGGATAATTTACTGCTAGAAGATGCTGAATGTCTTTAATATATTTTGATGAGTGTAAATAGTATGGTTTGTTTAATCGAGATAATGGATGAATGGCAAATATTCGAGTATATCGATATATAAAACAGGAATTTTCGGTGAAGTTCTTCATAAAGGCAAGTAATGAATTAACAAGTTAAATATAAATAATGTACCTAATAACCTAATTAACATATTTAAAACTTCTAATACTAATACAAATATGTTATTTTCATAAGTCTTATTTGAGTTACAGTGTGTTTAATCTCCAATAATTTATTTATTTCAATATTCAACAGGGTTGCTCCTAATTATTAGAAAAGAAATCTTACAATAATTTTCTAGAATTAATATATTTTTGTACATATATCAACTTAAAGATGGATGACTATAATTTCAAGTGAAGCATATTATTTATTATTTAAAATTTTTTCTGTTTGAATGTTCATGTAGGTTATTTAATACTTTATGGTAATTTTGACTGTCATTTTGTAGTATTCCCTAGCCCGTATAATTTTTTACATATTAATTAATTCATAATAGTTATAATAGTTATTTATAATGAAAGTGTGAGAAATAAGATTTTGTGCAAAAGCAATAATACAGATTTGTTGCAAAAACTTTGAGTTTAAGGAATTGAAGACAATGCGCTGATAAAATCTCATCTGTCAAGTTTTAAATAAAAATCGGGGAGTCCTTCAGGGTTCTTATTGAGTTCCATTTTATTCCTTATGTGTAAATAGGTATTTGTAGAACTTATAAAAGAGCAAAATCGACAAAATCCGCAAAATAGGCAAATGAACTGAATGTTTGTAGTCATACAATCCAAATAAAAAAAAATTATTCTTTCTTTATATAAATGACTTAACTCAACTTAAGATTGCAAGTACTTTTATTCTAATTGTTGATGATCAAGAATCGGAAAAAATACACAAAAAAAATGTAAAAAAATGTGCATTTTAATGCAATTGATTTGCGAAAAATATTTATTTAAAATAATTTTTCCTCCGGATTATCTATTAATTCAACAGCTTCAATTAAAGATACAGATGTATTTTGTAATTGCACAAGGATTAATATGATTTTAACTAAACAAGTTGATGTGGTAGTTGTTCATTTATAAATAACTCTTTAGGCTCTGAAAGAGCATCTGAAGAAGAATCTATTAAATCAAGCATAACCTTTTTAATTGATTCGTAATATTCTGCATAAAATAAAGCTGCAACAAGCCATGTGCCCCACTGAGTTATTATTGGTTTTGGCGGTATCGGGAAATCTGGAATATTTTCTTTATAAAATTGGAACAAACCTTATGAAATCTACTTAAACTAGAACATTGTGTACAGTCTGTTCGCTATATTTACGCGAGTTTCGGATTAACACAATTATGCAAATTAGTCATTGACAACCAGTTCCAATAAGCCAATTAGGTAAAATTGCCCTAATGGTCAGATTTAAATTAAAATAACATTAGGGTAGATACTAAATTTGTTACAAATATTGCAGTTGAATTGATTCTTTGCACGTGTTGACATTGTATGTATATTGTAAATTTAGTGGAAATTTTAAAAATGCCTAGACGTGTGTTAGATGTAGATAGTCTAATTTGTAGTGTACATAAGTATTTTAAAGATGAAAAAGAAAATGGCGGTCCTTTAAAATCGGTAATGTCTGTACAACAACGCGTATGCGATGCTTTAGGAATTAGTGAAACCAAATTAAGAGGAGTATTACAAAATCACAATACTGAACTGCCGAAAGAAGATCACCGCAAAACTCGCCCATCATTGAAAACGAAAGATATTCCAGATGGAAAGAAATTTGAAATTCGTGATACCATTTATCGAATGAGGGCCAACAAGGAACATGTGACCTTAAATACAATTTTCTCGGAATTAATAGATAGAAAATTTGACGACATTGGCAGAACAAGTCTATGGTAAGTAATACATAACTTGGGTTTCAAATTTCAAAAGGAGGATAACAGAAATGCCCTTTGTGAAAGAAGTTCTGTCGTGCACAAGAGAATTAACTTTCTAAGAAAATATTCTAAATTTAAAGAAGAAGGGGCGAATTTTATATATTTAGACACATAATATTACATGCAGGAGGGAAATCGGGTTTTATAGAAGGTGCTGTTTTAATATATTCATCTAAATCAAAATCCAGTGACTATCACGATAATATGAACACAGAAATGTTTGTAAAATGGTTGCATGAAAAACTTCTTCTAGGTTTAAGTGAGCCCAGCGTAATTATTTTAGACAATGTACCTTATCATTCTCAAGTATTAAAAAAAAGTCCAACGAATTTTTGGACTGTTGATAAAATTAAAGAATGGTTGACAAAGGAACATATACCATTTCCTCAATATATATTAAAATCAGAATTATTACGCTTGGCAAATATACACGCAAAACCAAAAACCTTTGTTGTGGATCAGATTATTGAAAATTACGGTCATCAAGTTTTACGTCTGCCACCGTATCATTGCCAGTTTAATCCCATCGAATATATATGGGGAATAGCAAAACAATATTATGACAACCATATTGGACCTAATGGTTATAGTGACGACGCAGTTCGGGAAACTTGGCGAAAAGCACTTTCAATTGCAACTCCAGAAGTGAGGCGGAACCTTAGATAAAAGAGACCAGAGATATAACATACACCGGTTTTAAACCTGCGCAAATGTTGCCAATTTCTAAAGAAGGGTTAACGGAGTGGGGGAACTGGGCGGCGACACGCGGCGACCCGAACTCTGTGACAGGGACCGGACTTTGTTTATTTGCATCTTAATGAACTATTAGGTTTATTTAAAAGGTGTTTAATCGAATTTTGTATTATGAAATAAAATTAACGTGATTTTTAATATCAAACAGATGCCACGACATTTTATGTAAAGAGAAGACCTTTTATAGAATATTTCGTTAGCGTTTATTTACTACGGACTTTTCTGCAAGAGATTACAGTAAAATGTTGAAATAGTATATTGTTAATAGAGCAAAAAATGTTACTCATTGTCTACGAGTATTATAAAAATAGCATGTGCGCAGGCTAATACTGCAAATCTACCCTTATGAGTTGAACATTATATTTTTTCTACGGCTATTACATATTATTAAAAATTAGTCAAAATGAGAAAATGCTGTTTTGTATTGTAACCCCAGAAAAAAGTATATTAAGGCTTCTTTCTTTAAGAATATTAATTATTATAAAGGATGAGTCACATAAAACTCTAGAAATGCATATGTCTGAAACCAGATAACATTTTAAAATTTAAATCTATTAAAAGTCATTTGGTCGCTAGGGATGAGTGATTATCGATCATTGAAAATAATCGATTATTTTCGATCAATCGATTATTTTCAAACAATATATTTTTTGTCATTTCCTTTAAAATCGACTACTTGATTATCTTTGAAAAATCAAAAATAATCGATTAATTAAAAAGCCAATTAAACGATAAATCAGTGTTTACAAAATATAATATAAATAGAATTATCGTTTATTTTAAATAATCGATTATTTTCGATCAATCGATTATTATCAATAATCTATTTTTATCAATAATTCCAAAATAATCGCCTAATCGAAAATAACCAATTAATTAAGAAGCCGATTCTATGATAAATCGATTTTCCAAAAAATAAAACGAATTATCTATTATTTTCTAATAATTTTTTTTTCATATTTCCTTTGAAATTGATTATTCGATTATCGAAAATAATTGATTATTAAAAAGCTGATTATCCAATAAATCGATAATTTAAAAAAAAATAACCAAAATATCGATTATGTAAAATAACCGATTATATCCAATCGATTATTTTCATATAATATCTTTGAAAAATCGAAAATAATCAAATAATTAAAAAACCGATTAAACGATAAATCGATTATTTTGAATAAATCTACTTTTTTGTATTTCCTTTAAAATCGATTAATACATTATCTTAAAAAAAACGAAAATAATTTATTAAAAACAGCGGATAAATCGATTTTCATTAAAAAATATCAGAATTATCGATAAATCGATTATTTTTGTAACCCCTATCGGTCGCTTGCTTTTATCTGAGCATTTAGCTCCAAAATTTAGAGATCGGATTTTTTGATCCAGTTATCTTTGAAATCGCATTCGATTGTATAATAAATAAATATTGCTAAATTTTGGATTTTTTTTAGTAAGCGAAAATTATGTTCGAGTTGTTTAGGGGTTTGTAATGTAACATTTTATTAACGTGACTAAGGGTCGATTCCACCGTTGTGTTAAACGAACTTTAAACTGACATTTTTACATTAACACTGTCATTTTAATCTCCGTTTAACACAACTGTGGAATCGGACCTAACTCCTGTACCTTTAGTATTTTTTTTTTGCTTATACTAGATTACTTTGTTTTAAGACTGAAAATTCAATGTCACTTTCGATTTGACCGCAAATAAGATGAACCTTGAAATTTTAAGTAGGTCATCCTGTATTTCATCTAATATTCTTATAAAAATACCTTATAAAAATACCTTATAAAAATACCTTATAAAAATACCTTATAAAAATACCTTATAAAAATAAAATTTAGCTAGCAACTATGATTCTTTACCTCTTATTTATCTACCAAAAAGGGCTAAAAACTACCTTTAGAAAACATTCTTATAAAACTACTTTTTAAATACAAAATTTCCTTAGCAATAATGCCTATTTACTATTTATTTAAATTAAATGTTCAAAATTTTACCCTTTTGTAAATTTATGTAAGTAATATGAAATCTGATTTCTGATGCTTAATATTTATTGAAACCCCTTAATGCGGATCTGAAGTATTCAGCCCAGAGAATCATGGCGCTTTATGTCAAAACGTTAATAAATATTTACCGCTGAAAACGAATATATTCATAACAGTAGTACTTGTATTATAAGTACATACAATTTTTCAAGATACAACGTGACATTTTGAACTTGAAATTGAATAACTAGAACACTTTAAATTGCTAAAATACCAACAAATAAATCAAAAAACAGCTGTCAATGGTGATTAAACTCAGGTGGAGGTGTGATCGCTGAATGGAAATCAGAGCAATTCGGGTGGCGTCGTGCAACAATGATTTTCAATTGGTGGGTTACTTTGGCTTAAAATAGACAGCATGCGCAGTGTGCAATGTTACATCTTCGGTCTCTTTAATCTAAGGGCGGAACTGTATATCCAAGTGCGAGAAACTAATAGAAGATTGGTGGACTCGTGAAAATAAAATAAACGAAATAAGTCCAATCATAATAACAATTAATGGTGATGACAGTGATGATGATGACGATTATGATATCTTGAATGATAATGACTGATTTTCATTTTTATTGGCAAGTTCAATTTTTTATTTTTCATTTGAAATTCTCTACATGGAACAAATTTTTATGTTTTTAATCCGAAACCCGCGTAAGTATATCGAACAGACTGTATACTAGTTTTCTATAGTATGATAATAGTTTATACCTCTAATTGATATTTGTAGTACATTTCATAAAAAAATACATCAATGTTTTCTATTTTAGAGCTTCCTATCATAAATAAACTGATATGAACGACAGTCTATCAGTCTGGAATGTAACAGAAGATTTAGAAAAAGACATTCAAGATGTAATACCACAGAAGGATATATTATATTTAACAATAAGATATAGTCTATTTATATCCAGTGCTATATGTGACGCATTAATAATTTACTTTTACTATAGAATCAAAAAATTGAAAAACCCTGACAACAAATTGATTGTAAATTGGGCTGGTACAAATCTCTATTACTATTTACATCATTTAATTATAACCGATATAATATGTTTTGCCGTTTTAAAACTGGAATTTACTCCAAAATATCTAATATCTTTGTCGACTACGGCATTAGTAATCAACTACGTCTTTGGCTTAGCAATGTTAGTACGTTGGATAGTGTTGAATTTTAATTACAAGCTCTCCAAAGACCTGAAAGAGCTGCTTGAAGAATATTTCGTTTATTTTATTTATTCATTAGGTTTAACGATTTATATGTACGAATATTTTTATTATAAATATCATACTTACGAAGTAGCTATAATGTGTTTAGACAGCATCATTTTGACAGCTGTTGTTATAAACATTATTATCTATGTATATAAAATTAAATCAAGTAGTTTTTATGTTATATATGTTGCTAATACCATTATTGCTTCATTGGTTCCAATGGTTTTATATCATTATTTATTTTTGTTTTTAGTAGATAGTTCCTCTGTAGTTTTAGATGTAGTTTTTTATACTAGAATCGTTCCTCAGGTAATCATGTTTAGCTGTTCTATAGTAGTATGCGTAGTTTTGTATAAAACTAGTAAAGATTTTAATATTGCTTTTAAGGTTATTATAGGATCTCATTACAGCCATCGCGGCATGAATAATGATTGGGTATTTATTGAAGATGTGGAAACCGTTTAATAATAATATAAAATTATTTTTATTATTGAATTTTGTTTTAATATGAATTATTTATATAATATTACAAAAGTTTTTTTAGTTGCACTAAGGAACGTATGTTTTGTTATTAAAATTAAAAGTAATAGGTAAAAAAAAATTATTGTTTGTTTTTGACGATTTATTTTAACTATATTTATGTTAACGCGAGTGAAATAGATTTGTGAGCGTGAGAGAGTTAGTACTCGTACTTAAATTACTGGAAACTTTCCATTAGAAAGAAATGCTGGTAAATAAGATGCAGGTGTGCAAAATAGGTTTTTTCTGGAATTAAAAAAAAACTGTTAAATTACTTGCTGTTAGCATGGATCAGGGCCGGCTTCGAATTTGTAAAAGATTTTTAAATTCGGTGATACAATGTACTGAAGGATCTCTAAAAAAATGCTTGTCTTTTTGAACAGATCTTTAGATTTATATGTTAAATATATTAAATTATTTTAAGTTTATGATAGGCTTTAAAAAAAATCGCAGAAGCTGAAGAGCAGAGGTAAATTAACTCCGAAAAATAAATTTTAAAAATGCTTGATTCTTGGTTGAATTCAGCACATTTTTTCTCTGTGTGTAACATTGCACAATAACAGAATACACTATATACACAGAAAACAGGTCTTATAAAAGATATCCTTTACAAGATTCTACATTTTCATTTGCGGTAGTTAATTTTTCTAAATTATTAGTGTTGGACTTCTTTAAGTGGTTGATCCCCCATGGTATAATACAACTTAAATGACTATAAAAGTCGGCCCGATTCTTAGGCGAACCTGCTGTCATTTCAAATACTTAATAGAATAATTATTTGATTTCATTGGATAATTGGATTTGCAACGGAGTTGTTTATACGTCACGTTTTTTAACATTAAACCAACCAGTTGTAGTTAACGATTTGACTGACACAAAACCTTATGGAATTGTTTGATTTGTACTCAGTAGGGTAAGTTTATTATAATTATTAAGTAATTATATTAGTGTAGGTTTTCAAAATACAATATTAAAATATTTATCATGCTTATTGTTAATAATCAAGTGAATGAATGAATAAATATCGTGCCCCATCAAGAGAAATCGTAGAAATAGTGGAAAATAGTGAAAAACAAGTAAGAGTTCTATTTAACGACTATCTCTTTCCTTTTTTATTTGGGCATTCTAACGACCTATCAAACAATAGCTGTCGAAGGGTAGGGCTGGTATGTATAACGGGGTTGCGACATAGTCTTTCATTTTGATGCTATTTTTATTATTAACCGACTTCAAAAAAGGAGGAGGTTCTCAATTCGTCACAATATTTTTTTTTTATGTATGTTCAGCGATAATTCTTTAACACGGTGTCCGATTTCAATGATTCTTTGTTTGTTGGAAAGGGGGTACTTCAAGGGTGGTCCCATATAAATTTGATCAAAATCTAATAATTGAGTCCATGAGAAAATCCTCAAACTCTTCATTTTTTATGTATGTTTAGCAATAATGTTTTACCATTTTGACCGATTTATATGATTCTTTTTTGTTAGTAAGGGGGTACCTCAGGGGTGGTCTCATATTAATTTGGTTAAGATGTTTGAGATGGCATCTGCACGTTTTTGAAGTCAGTTTTTTTAAATTTTTAATTTCTAATACTTGTTTTAAATAGTAGTTGTCAGCCTGCCAATTTAAGAATAATGTATAGTCGTTTATTTTAAATGATATTTTCATAAAATGGACAGTTTTTTTAGGATAAAATAATTAAATTTTACCCATTATTAATGATTTAACGTATTGTAGATAGAATACATCGTGTGGCAACCTCTTAGATGAACCACATTTCATAAAATAAAATTTGTCATATTGGGTAGTATCGGTGTAGCTTCGACTAACCACTAGTAAAATTTTATTTATTATTGGAATTTCGTTTTTGAAATAGAAAAATAAACTGTAATCACTTAGTCACCCTCTCGACTATAATACATTCTTTGAAAGGCATATTTTGCCAGGAGATCAAAAGAAAACCTTATGTTCAAATATTACAATTCATTTTATATGTTCTCAATGAAGTTTTTTTAGTATATGATTATAAATATGTTACAAAATAAGGATTCTCTTTCCCCCAAATGTCTATTTCCTTTCTTTTAAGCCAATTTGTGTATGCTTTCTGGTATTTTCTTTTATTCTCGCCTCTTCATTTTATTTATTTATTACTTTTTTGCCTCTTCCAATTTCATTGAATAATTTTATTTCGACAAAAATAGCTTAGATCTCTACTCTACTATATTGAAATAAGTTGAAAGTGGTTATAAAAATTGATTACATTTTTTATAAATTCTAACAGAGAGATAAAAAAACCTATATTGTTGAAACGGTCAAATATATTTTTCATTATTTCAGATAAAATGCCAGAAAAACTCAACTTCACGGAGTTCGATGACGATCCGTTCGCAGATACGGGCTCAGATACACCCATACAAGAGGAACTATTAACGTCGGTCTATTCAGTCGTTTACTACTCAATGTTTTTCACGGAAACCGTCAAACTGTTCCTCAGCATCATTCTTGTAGTGGCTGACAGTTACTTAGCGATCACTATCTACAAAGACAAGAAGCAAACTAAAAGTAAAAAACTGATAATGCATTTCGCCATCATTCATATCTTGTTATTCGTATCTTCGCCTTTATTGTACATTTTGATGGATATAACGAATATTATGAATTATGTTAAAGGTGAATTTTACTTATGTTTATTAGCTATAGAACAGTTGAGTTGTATTTTGAGTTTACTGCTAGCTTCAGGATTAGCGATGGAGTGGTTAATAATGGTATATAACCCAAAATTTAACGGTGTAATAAAGTTTTTTTATAACAATCTTATAATGATATTTTATATTGTAACTTTATCGCAATTTATTATTCAGTTTGTGAGCTTAGCTTTTGAAGAAAGGTGGCTTATAAGTCATTTTATTTTTAGAATATCCCTATTTGTTGTTTCATTGTTATTAATTTGGTGTAACTATTTAAAATACAGAAATAGAATTTCCATGCAAGCTAAAAAAGGGTATTCTCTCATCGTAGCGAATATCATAACCTTTTCTTGGATTCCTCTTTACATTCTTGACATTCTCTTGCATTATACATCGGATTATAGAATTTTCCACGCTATACTCTTGCTGTTATGGTTCATACCAGAGTGGCTGGCATTTGGTAATACACTAATTGTAATGTATGTGCTGGCAAAATATAACATCTACTTCCAAAATTACTACGATAAATTGTTTAAAAGAGGTGTTAGATATAGAGATGATGAGGAATATTTGAACGAATCTTTCGATGAAAGTAGTACCAAGAACGTCACAACTACATACGAAAATGTGTATGTTTGATTAAGTTTTTATGATATATAAAGGTCTAACTCAATAATCTTCATTATATCTTCTTTTTTTAACATTTTTTTCCGTATTCTTCGTCTATTTTTTTTTCATACTCAAGTACAAGCTCGGATTTAATTTTTTTGGTTCTGTATATTTCTATTTTCGAGCTTTTTAAAAAAAGTTATTTGAAAAATATGTTTTAACTACACAGTTGAAACAGTATTAACATGTATTGAATGTGAAAATGTATTCAACTTAACTTTTTAATCAGGTTGAAAATACAAGTCGTTTCTATTAAAAATTTTAATTTAATTAAATGATACATTCTTTGATATAGGGTGGTAATTTTTTTATGTACAGAGAGATAAAGAAAATTAAAAGATTGTAACTGAAAATTACTGTAAATCATAAAAAAATTTATTTATTAATACTATCTAATCTGATTTGTATAGAAAATACAAAATATTTGTTTATTTAGTATAACAAAAATACGTTTTATTTTTGTTGTAATAACAAATATGCATTCCATTGTTGACAAATACTAAAAGAAATCAAATTATATATCATTTTTTTTAATTGAAAAAGACAGAGAAACCAAAAGTAGCTACCTATATTATATTATGTATATTTTTATTGTTAAAATTTTGTACTTACATATTATATTTTATGCTACTCATAAACAATTTTATTTTCTTTATTATGTTATTATAACTAATTTTATTAATAACGTTGATTATAATACATTTTTCTTTACGAATTTTAAGACTTTGTAAATAAATTTACAGAATAAAAACGTTATTGTAAATAGTTTAATTTTTAGATTATTGCAAATATTGTTTTTCCTAATGGTATTTTATTGATAAGTTATTAAATATTGAATAATTGTATATTTCATATTTTTATTATTACACAAATTTAAAATATACTACTTCAATGATATTTATAATACCCAACATAGGGAAGACCCTGTAGAGTGGAAACTAAATTTTTTTAATCATGTATCTTTGATAAATATTATTATACTCTTTAAATAGTAGTCTGTGAAGACTAATACATACATATATACTTTCAAGAAATATTAGTCCAAATTTAAAAATTTTTACACAAAAATCCTTCCCATCAAATTAAAAAAAACTTTTGAAAATGTCCGTTTGATGTCACGTTATATGTCTGCAAGATAAGTCCAAAAGGAAAAATGATATCAACTTGAAAATTTCAGAAAAATCAGGCTCTAAAAGGGTACCCTGTCAAGGTTATGCCGACGATATAGTCATATTTGCTAGTGGCAAGTTGGCAAGTTTAGTAATATCCTGTGTAATATAGTCCAACGAGGACTAGAACATACCAAAAGATGGTGCCGTGAAGTGGGACTTAGTATAAACCCTACAAAAACAACACTAGTAGCCTCTTAGGTCTTGTAAACACTACTAAACATAAAATTTCGGTAGCAAAATTTTTAAAATGCTATAACTTGACATTGGATTGAAGGTTCTTGATGATTTTTGCGGATCTGGAATCCTTATTTCACGTAGATTTTAAATGGTCTAAGAATTTTATTTGATAGTTGAAATTTACACATTATACCGGGTCGATAATAGACAAAAACGTAGCGTCCGACGCGCTCTAAGGTTTGGCATTATTTCAGCTTTTGTAAAAATAAATTGTCACCTCACGTTTTTTTATTTAATATCCTTCTAACTGTTCTGTACAAAACTCTCATCCCAGTTTGTTGTCACAATTTGCATTTCTATTGAAAATATTGAACTTTAAATTTTGCCTAAAAATCTCTATGTGTAAGTTCGAGTGGCCAGCAGTTTAGTTTAGCTACTACGAAAGCTAATATCTCAAAAGTACAAAGACTAGCCTGTGTTTGCATTACTGGTGCAATAAGAACCTATCCTACGGCCGCAATGGAGGTGATTTTAAACCTCACCCCTCAACATTTGATGATAGAGAATGTGGCAAAAAGGACACGATATAGAATGATCAGGAACGGAGTAATCAGACTAAATCAGGACTAAAGATACCTGGGACATGCCCCAGGATGAAATAAAAAGTACAGTTTTGTGAAAAATTTCAAAACCACAGAGCCGGGCTGCAACAAAGAATGGAGCCAAGAATCCATCGCGCTTGCAACCAAAAGACGTGCTATTCAGTGGTATACGGACGGTTCCAAAACCATAGAAGGAACTGGAATAGGAATATATGGGCCGAGTATCAAGCACTCCGAAAGCTTGAGAAAATACCATCTTCCAGGCGGAAATTCACGCCATCGAGAAGTGTATCCAGTTTAACATCGAGAAAAACTATCATAGACAGATTATCATCATGTCCGATAGTCAAGCAGCCATCAAAGCACTGAGCTCTTACGTAATCAGCTTAAAAATGATCTGGAGATGCCTAGAACAGTTGAATGAGCTAGGAGAGAAAAATAGAGTTACTCTCACTTGGGTCCCGGGACATAACGGGGTACAGGGTAACGAGATTGCAGATAGTCTTGCAAGGAAAGGGGCTCAAACACCCTTTGTAGAACCTGAGCCGTTCTGCGGTATCAGCAGTAACATAATAATAGGAGAGATTAAAAAAGAATTGGGCAGTAGAAGAACTGATAACTGGAACAATCTCTTGAGGCTGAGACAGGCCAAGATACTTCTGGGTGAATATAACCAGAAAAGATCGGAAGCCTGCATCTGCCTGAGCAAGAACAGGCTACGTATTTTAACAGGGATCCTTACCGGGCATTGGCGACTAAGAGGACACCTAAGTAAACTGAGAGTAGTAGAGGATAGGATGACGAAACCTTCATTCACATCCTAACTGAATGTGTGGCACTCCAGAATCCAAGGGCACTATATCTAGGAGGATATCAAATAGAAGAGGGAGATTTACCTAACTTGAAGCGACTTTAAATACTACACTTCCTTGAGAAAATAGGACTGGAAGGGTCGTTATAGGCATTAAGACATTTCCTTAGTGCATTGGCGACAGAAGGGGGTACAATAGATCTTTTAGGTCGCAGTGTATTAACACCCCATTCCCAACATAACATAACGGTACGAAGCCCATTGATTTTGAAAAAAATCTAAATAAGATGGGGGTTTAATGGGAGTTGAAATAAAAAAAATCATAAATCAAAGACGAAAAGATAAAAGGTTAAGAGGAGTTGAAATATTTAAAAAATCCTAACTCAGAAACAAAAAACGATATCAATTTGGAATCGTCAGGAAAAATTAAGCTTTATAAGGGGATGAATCTTAGTAATTCTAAAAAAAATATGATCGAAAATGGGGTTAAGGGAGGTCTGTTAAACTGTGAAGTGTGTAATATAGAATGTCAAGCAATATATCTTCATTAATTGGATTTTTTTATTCTTCAACTACAACATTTTATAATTCACAAAAACTAATTAAAAATTTAATATATTTATTACATTTTAAATACATTTCTATCAGAAATTACATTAATATTACATTCAACGTCATCTTGAAAATTATTATCAGCATTTTTAACATTTTTTCTTGATAGAGCTGATGCAAAACGTTTGTCGCTTTTTTTCAGTACAACAACTAAAGCAATGGGGATACTGTAAGCCAACCATTTTGGTAAAATCATGGTATACAAGGTAATGGTGTACAAAGTATAAGAACCGTAAGTCCAACCCAGTAATTCGTTATAAATTTGTTCAGGTAACCAAAAGTAAACTAGAATACCAGCTGTGGTTAGCATGTAACTATTTTTATTATTTCCCTGATTTTGTCTATATTGCAAATACTTACATACTGTTATAAATAATAGTATTAAGAAGTATACTATTTTTGTAAATATGTACTCAAGCCATATATAATACGTATAATATCTTAAATAATATATTATTAGAAATAAACAACATCCTATTAAGTACAAAATTGTTATTGAATAATCATGTATTAGCTTGGATTTATGTCCCAAATTTGGATTATTTACAAAGCATAACCATTCAATTCCAATACCGACTGGAAACATATACATAAATACAAAAGTAAATAGTTTTAATTTTAATATAACTACGTAAACATTTGCGCGAATATAAATGATAAATTTACTTAGAATCATCATTTTAAAAAATAGGGAAGCAGAAAACAAAAACCCAATTTGGTGTACACAATAATGAAGAACATACTGGTAAAATTTGGGTTTCAACTCCTCTTTTCTCAAAATGATTACAATCAAATACAAATCGAATAGTATAACTAAACAGTTTAGAAATATTTCTACATCAGACATGACATAACTGATGTCATCTAAAGTTTCATAGGTTGATTTTATTAGTTCATAAAATTGGGTTACGTTGTTTATATCCGTCATAGGATCTTCATCGAACAACTTCAAGGTCATTGGAACGGGATCAAAGTCCATTTTGAAAATCTAAAAAATAGTATTTTGATTTAAATTTCCATTTTAAAATTTTACTAGAACAATTTTAAGGAGTCGCCAAGAAAGCAAATTGTTATTGAACAAAAAAAAAAACAACCCATCTAGTTATGCATCAATCACATCGCATCAATAAAAAGGCGTTAAATAAAAACCATTTTCCTAAGAAAGTAAGAATCAGTTAATAGAAAAGTATGAATTAAAATTTAAGATCAATTGTTTTTTAGACGTGACATCACTAATTCGTCTGTAAATTATAGATTTGAGCTATTATTACATCAATTTAAATATTGGTCAATTGACTTACCTAAAAAAAAATGTTTATTGAATCGAAAAATCAACCATTTGATTGTCTGGTTGAAACCGATTAAACGGGAAATGTGTTTTTAGTGATGCAATTAATTGTGTCCCTTCGGAGTTCATATTTCGCGGTCGCATGTTACCGATATCAATCATCGAGCTATCAGTATAAATAACGGTTATACATATAAATAGAGTAATATATAGGGTGTTTCTTAATAACATGTTAATATTTTAGTGTGTATTTCCTACGGTTGTTTAGAAGAAAAGTTATTTTTTGGTATGAGTTAATAGAATATTGAGCCATGTATGCATTCCTGAAACATATCTTGTACAAAAAAAGTGGTACGCCAATGACGTTTCTTCATATTGATATCTTTTCTGTTTAGACTAAGCTATGGCCTCACTATATGGAATAATTCTCTCCTCAGCACAGTGTTTATAAGACAAAAGCGAATGTTCAAATCACCAATTTAAATTTTATTTTCATTTGCCTTCAACTCGTTTATCTCTGTATCTATATATCTAAGGAAAAGAGACAGCGACAAATCGTATATTACAATTAAATATGTTTAATATTGAACTTATAATTAAAAGACCAGTGTTTTCAATTGCAGAGAGCTCGTATTATAATCGTAAAACTCAATTTTCTGCGAAATACGTTTTTCAGATTGCTTTAAAGAGTAAATTGACGTAAGTGATTATAATTTGACTTAATGAATAGAAATATTACAACCTCGCAAACTTCATAACTACTCAGGCTTTATAGCATTTGAGTGTTGTAGCTATTCTAAACAGTGACTACATACGGGTAAGCGTTTCGTGTTGCTTTTATTATTATTAACTCAGTTGAAAGTAATTTTTGTAAAATTTTGTTTTCCAATCGGTACTAATTTTTTTATTTTGTTTCTTGTTAAATTTCTTAAATTTTAGAGGTTAACATACGATTAAGGAACTTTAATTATGGGTTTTATTATATACAACCATTTTTATTTTGATTTTGAGACACTGTCTTGCATCTAAGTCTATGTAATACATATATATATAGATTTTTAAATGATTTTTTTATATAATTTATCATTGAGTTTTAAAAATTGAGATAGAATAACGAGGCGTTGCTATAACAACGATTTTAAGGTGTCCGTCTCAGATAAAATTGACTTCAAACAAATCAAATTCAACTCAAGTCGCCATTTTCATTACACTTTTCGGTCATTCGAATTGCGTTCATCTGTCACATTGCAGAATAGTGTTTATTTTGTCTCTATTTTATTCTATCTTTGCTACATTTGAAATGTACCACATCGAGAAGAGCGAATAGGGTTTTTTGGGCACGTGACATCGAGCAAACCTATCAAAGTATGTGCCTAGAATAGGTATTCAATCAGTAATGGGCACATACTTTGATTACTATACGGTGCAAGAGAGAGATCCGACATGCCCAACATAGGGCGCGGCCATTTTGATTCCTATGCCACAGTTTATAGCTAAAGAATCAGATCGCTCACTCTGCGTCGACACTTTTGATCTCAATGTTCCAGTTTATACACTGCGCAACTCGGATAATACAATATATGACAACCGCCTATAATAAAACAGCAGTCTTCTGCGTATCCTGAATTTGTATCCCTGGAGTGGATGTTATTTTGGAACTTTCAACTGGGCCGAGTGAGCTAACTGATTCTTTAGCAATAAACTGTGACTCCAAGAATAATATTCACTGACACCGACAGCAGCAAGCAAAATATCAGGTGCGTTTTAATCATCCGCTTCTGCTTTCGGAATTGTCGATTTAGTCGTTTTAACCTGTCAGATTAAAACAAGAAAACCGACAATTCCGAAGCAGATGATTAAAACGCACCTATTAAAAATATTGCGCCAAGATGTAGGCAACACGTAATAACGGATCAAAATGGCGGAATTTTCTATCTCCTTTTAAAAGGCACTCAGAAAGCTGCACAGTGCGACCATTCTCCGTATAGTAAAAGAAAATTAAAGTATGTGCCGCACCCTATGTTGGGCGTGTCGAACCTCTCTCTTGCACCGTATAGCTAATCGGATTTATGACAAGTGATATATTATATTCCGGAAACGTCAGCGCAGTAAAAGATGCGCATCTTTTTCCGCCTAAAAATGTCGATACTGATTGAATACCTATACCGGGGATGCTTTATAGTTTATAAAATCGTAATTAAAGAATTAGAAAGCAATATGTATATTCAAAAAAACTGTTTTTATAATGATTTAAATAAATAGGTTAAATGATTGTATTAATCTGGAAAATGTATATACATAGTTGGTGTAATAGTAATAAATTACATCTTAATATCAATAAAGATATAATTTTTAGTTTTAGGAAAAAAACAGAACGCGATTAAATATGTATTTTAAATTATTGACAGTTGATTAGAACGTGTCAGCAAAATTAAGGACTATGTTGTTGTTTTTGATAATAACCATACTCTAGTCTTCTGAAACACTCAGGTCTTATGGGTTTGTTGTTAGAAATAGCAAGAATTTAACAAAAAATATTAAAACAATTGAATTATTATATTATTCGTAAATTAGAAGAAAATTGAATACCCAATAATAGTTTGTGCTCCTTGTAGAGTAATGCCTGAAACTGTATTTTGCATTTTTTAGCAAACATGTCAAATTTAGGCGACGTCAACGTTTAGCGTACCGCCGCCATCTTGATTTTTTTTAATAGAAACGTAGATCTTTTCAAGAATACTAAAATTTTTGTTAATATTATTATTGGAACATACTATTGATATAGATATCTGTTATTACTATTACTATTATTATTAATATTTCAGATTCGAAATGACAGAACAATCAATAGTTGCAGAAATACTGGAGAACGATCCATTACAAGAATCAAATTTGACAACCTTCTACGATCAAATGAAATCCAACCACGAAACTTTAAAATATTTTAACACCATTACAGAAATATTGAGAATTCTGCTAACCATCTTGCTAATACTGATTGATATATTCCTAATCCACATATTCAGAAGACATCCTAAACTTACATCGAAAATTAACCAATACATTATCCATTATTCTATATGCCATATTATATTTTTAGTTTCCCAGTCTCTCGTTTTTGATGTTTTTATTTTGTTTCGTCTTTTAAGATACCTGCCAAGGTTTGTTTTTGGTGTTTGTCATATTATTCAGCACTTTACCATTTTATTGGGTTATTTATTCGCTTTGGGTATAGGACTCGAATGGTTATATGCTGTGTATTGTCCAAATTTTGGACAATATATTAAATTTATATATAATCACTCTATAGTTATCTTCTATTTAATTGGATGTGGAATATACGTTACACTAGTCACTCTAAAACTATGTTATGAATGGTTTGCAGAATTCATCTTGTGGATGATAATGTATTCATGTTTTATAGTATTTATATTGGCATGTAAATACTTGCAGTACAGAAGAAGACATCTACTCCACGAAAATAATTATTTTTTAAATATATCAATGGTATTGATACTATTTTGGTTACCCCTGTATATATATTCCGAACTACTTTCATGGGCTCACGGTTCTCACTTACCGTATACCATAATCTTGTACACCATGTTAATTCCAGAATGGTTTGCAGTTAGTACGCCTATTGGATTGGTGATAATTTTAAGAGAACATGATGAACATGTTAGAAGAGCAATAGATACAAGAAGTTTTTGTGGATTGAAGAAATCAAAGCGAAATTCTGAAGATGAAACCGGGTACAATTTAACGTGTGATACAACTATTCTTGATGTGTAAATAAAATATTAATGTTATTTTATTGCATTTTATTTTTATTTCTATTCTACGCCCGTCTCTGTCTAAGTTGAATCACCATTCACCAGCGTTTTTTTAAATATATTTTTTTGCTGGTTTTAAGAATTTAAAATGTTTTTAACCGACTTCAAAAAAGGAGGAGGTTCTCAATTCGTCGCAATTCTATAGATTCATCTTCTCTGCTGTCTTAATTTAATTTTTATATCCCACGTATTACGTCAAGGTCAAATATAATATTTCATATTCAAGTGCCAAATTCACATCACTTTCACAGTCCTTTAACTATAAGGTGTAGAAGTGTCAATCAGTAATCTGTTGATATATTTTTTCTAAAATTTTACCAATTTAGAGAGCAGTGTTACAGATTGGTATCAATGTAAATAGAATGTAATTTAGTTAAGTAAGTATTCTCAAACTTTGTATTTTTAAATATATTATATACTCCTGTAATTGGACTGATAAAGCCTGTTGGATGTATTAATTAATAAATAAATACATAAATAAATAAAATACAGGATGACCTAAAGGTTTCCTGGAATGGCGGCACTCTATTCATTTTCAAAAATAGTCGGGTCCTGTATTGAAAGGGTTTAAAATGTTACATTATAAAATTCTAAATAACTCGAAATACAATTTTATTTATAATTTATGTTGTCACAAAAAAAAGATTTAAATTATTTCAATACTTAAAGTTATTAAATATTTTTTCTAAATTTATTTATTTCAAAATTATAAAAGAATATGAGAATAAATAAATAGAAATCTTTAATAGTTAGATAGAGGGAGATTTGTAAACATTAATTTAAAGAAAACCATATTACGTATTGTTGAATCATCAAAAATGCGTGGTCCTTTATCTTAGCGGCAGTAAAAGTATTTTTCTTTCATTGTTAACAACGCAAATACCTAAATCAAACTTTAACGTCATAAAATTAGTTGTTATTCGAAGAAAAATACAGTTTTTGTTTTGTTTTTGAAATAACTTATCCGACAGCCCCCATATTGCATCATTTAGGTCCAGCCCATGAAATATGAGCTTTAAAAACACATTAGTTTAATTTGGGCTATTGATATCGCCAAAATGCGATTTAACTTGCTTTTGTCTGTTTGGTGTATCGATGAAATAGTTGGATTTATATTGGTAAGAGCAATAATTTTACTATTAGAAATATTTTTTTGGAGAAACCTTTCAAAAATCATGATAACAGACATCGGCAGAGGCGCAGACGTGTTTAGTCGGAAGGGTCCAGGTTCGATCCCAGGGATATGCATTAAATTTTTTTTTATTTCTTAATTTTTCTTTGGTTTGTCTTCACTTTGGGGATATAGGAGTGTATTTTTTATAATTTCATAAGGAAATTTGGGGTTTATATATTTTCATATTTCCAAAATTGTATATCATGAAAATACATCAATTAAATGAATTACTAAAAAATAATAAGATAACATAAATTAAAATGTAGAACTGGACAACGTCAATAAAATCTGTATGTTTTATATTATATATAAAAAATAAAAAGAAGCCATAAAAAAATAATTGCTTGGTAGAACCTAAATTAAAATTTTAAAATTATAATCATTATAATCATCACCAGTCCAATGAGAACAAAAAAAATACAAACTCAGTTAATCTACCAGACATGGAAAAGGAAAGGAATAAAAAATACAACAGAACATTTTCTTGCCCAAAATTTTTAAATTATTTTTTGATACCTTCTCCTCTTTGAAAATTACTGATTATATCTTTGGTTGTATCTATTTCAGATTCAAAAATGGCCGCTGAACTTCCAATGACTTTAGAACTACTAGAAAATGATCCATTACAAGAAGCAAATATAACATCTTTCTACGAACAAATGAAATCCACCTACAGGACATTAGATTATTATAAAAATTTTACGTTTATAATCACTATTTTACTAATGTCCTTATTAGTAATGATTGACATATTTTTAATTGAAATATTCCGAAGACACCCAAAGCTGAAAACAAAAATAAACCAGTACATTTTCCATTACGTTATTAGCCATTTGTTGTTTATAATCTCAAAGTATTTGTTTTTTTATATTTTTATACTAACTGGTTTAGTAAACTACATTTCTACTATCGTATTTTATATTATGTTAATTTTTTCAGGGTTTGCTTCTGGGATGTGTTACATGTTGGGTTTAGGTTTAGGAGTAGAGTGGTTATGCATTGTTTATAACAAAAATTTGGAAGGAAATGTAAGGTTTCTTTACAATTACCCGATAATTATCTCATATTTAATTGGAGGCGTAATATACGGTATACTAATCATTTTAATGTTTTACTCATTACACGTTGGAATAGCTATATCAAAAATATTAGATTTATTATTTATACTGTTTATATTAATTTGTAACTGCTTGCGATATAAGAGAAGACATTTGGATAACAAAAACAATTATATTTTAAACATAGCTAGCATATTAATACTCATTTGGGTACCAGCTTTTATTTATGAAGAACTAATGACATGGAGTTATGGTCATTACACTTTATATACCATACTTTTATTTACTTCAGAGATTCCAGAATTATTTGCTGTTAGCACCCCAATCGTTTTGGTTATCATTTTAAAAAGTCACGATGAATATTTCAGAAAAGTAATAGACAGAAGAAACTTGTGGACATTGAAATCCTTTGATGGAAATTCTGAAGATGAAGATGAAATGGAGTATACTGTAAATTCCGATACAAATATAATAAATGTATAAATTAAATATTCAAGTTACTTTACTGTCTTTTAATTTCATTTTAAAAACAGAATAACTTATTTGAAATACATAATTTTCACTTATTATAGTTATTGTTTGAAAACTTCTAGTGAATTTCCAAAATAATAAATAGTTACTTGTTTTCTTTCATAATTTTAGCTATATATAGTTGAGGTTAGGTTTTGCTAATGTTCATCGTTTAGCGTATGCACCCATTATTACCTTTTTACCTCACTTCAGTCTTCTGTAGTTCTGGCATCGAAAAGCAGTGTGGTGTAAATTGAAATACAAGTAACTAAGAAATGGTTTGCATTCTAGGTCAGAAATAAGAAAAACTTGTATGAATGAAATTAGTTTAAAATACATGGAATGCGTGTTTACTATAGTAGTAACAACAATATCCTCATTCTGCTTTACTTAAATGACCCAGAAAAGATAAATCTATTCTTTATTAACTCAGTAGAGAATTCAAAATGTCAAACAGACACTGCTTTAGTCCAGCACTACTATGGATCTACAATTTTTGATTAAATTTATTGCAGCCTACAAGTTGTTTTGGAAAATCATGTAGTAGAAGCAATTCCAAGTATAATTGGTCAAAAATCCTGACTCAAGACCGATTAGAAAATTACCGGTATTATCTAAAATCTTGGATATACTTATCTATACTAAGATGGTAATATATCTTACAGTGAATAGCACCGTTACTGCCTTGACTAAATTATTGGATGGCTATGGATAAAGAAGATATGGCAGCGTTGATATTGCTGGATGACAGTGGTTTTGCTATTCAAATTAAAAATTTATAATGGAAGTAAAGATTAAAGATCGATCACCCCAAATTGTATATGTAAAAACAGTTCTGTTTTAGATTTACTTATAGGACAGCCCTCATATTGAATTATTTGGGTCCAGATCGTGAAATATGAGCTTCAAAAAACAATATGTTAATTTGGAATATTGATATCGCCAAAATATGGTATCATTTACATAATTGGCTCTTATGTGTTTGGTTTATCAGTGGAATATATTGGTAAGTCGGATAATATTTGATATTAGAAATAATTTTCGGAAAAAAACTTTCGAACACCATTAGAAAAAAAAAGAATGTAAACTGTTAACTGATGTCAGAAACTTATATTCTGATGGCTGAATGATTAAAACAATATGCTTAGAACACGAATGGGTTGGTCTGAATCCACCAGTGGATATAATTTTTTTTAATTACTACTACTACTACTACTACTACTAAAGTACAGTAAAAGTACTTAAGTATACAAAAAGTAGTTACTATAAAAGTACCTACAGCTTAAAATAAGATGTAGGTTCCGATTACAATTAGAAGAACACAGCTACGTCATTATTTGGCAAAGTAATTAATTGGTAATCGCCGCCTATTGGTGGTTTAGTGGAATGTTAATATTAAATGAACATAACAGGAATATTGTTTTATATCTAATAACTTACTTATTTTTTATTTATTGATAGTTATAAATAATATGTATTCGAAATTCGAAGTAGACCATGTAGCGGTGTTCTTCTAATTGTAATCGAACCCTATTATGTATTTAAAATTACTACAGCTACTGGTATACTTGTATTTAAAAGTGCTATAAAAGTCGATATTTAAGTAGGTACATATTATACTTAATACCAGTAATTGTGCTTAGTTCTACTTTGAAAAGGTACTGGTACATAAGCATTTTTTGTTGGTACTTGAAACAGCTTTAGTATACTTAAATTAAAGACTTAACAATCATTTTTAATTTACACAAAACGGTCTGTATAACATATCTTATATAGTTTGGTTGTGATTAGTTTTTGCTAAATTGGTAAAAAGTGGTACACATTTTGTATTTAATAATAAATTATTATATTTCAGATTAGAAAATGGCTGCTGAACTTCCAATGGTTTTAGAAATACTTGAAAATGATCCATTACAAGAAACAAATATAACAACTTTCTACGATTAAATGAAATACACCTACAGGATTTTGGAACATTTTAAAAATTTTACGTTTATAATCAGGATTTTACTGATATCCTTATTAATAATGCTTGCGATATTTTTATTCGAAATATTCCGAAGGAACCCGAAAATTAAAACAAAAGTCAACCAGAATATTTTCCATTATATAACTAACTATATGGCGTTTGTAATCACTAGGATATTGATTTTTGAAATTTTTAGATTAACTGGTTTAATAAAGTATATTCCTTTTAAAGTATTTTTCATGATTGCTGTTTATGGTAGTTTTGGTTCGATATTGGGTTACATGTTTGCTTTGGGTTTAGGAATTGAGTGGTTATACATGGTGTATAGCCCAAATTTGGGGACAACTTTAAAATTTATTTACAATTACTTAATATTGATATTGTACTTAATTGGTAGTATTCTATTTAGTTTATTATTAACTTTAGAAAAATATTGGAACTATCATATCTTACTGCTAACGTCAAAAATATTATATTTTTCATTTGTACTGTTTATAATAGTGTGTAATATCGTGCAGTATAAGAGAAGAAACGTAGATAATAAAGATACTTATATTTTAAACATAGCTAGTATATTAATATTATTTTGGTTACCAGAGTACTTTTATGATGAATTACTGACTTGGTCTTATGGTTCTTACACCCTATATACTATATTTTTATTCACCATGGATATTCCACAATTGTTCGCTTATAGTACACCAATTGCTATCATTACCATTTTAAAAACTAATGATGAACATTTCAGAAGAGCAATAGAAAAGAGAAACTTGTGGAAGTTAAAGAATTTTAAAGGAAATTCTGAAGATGAAGTAGAAGAGTATAACGTAATTTCTGATACAAATAATATTTCCAATGTCTAAATAAAATATTACATACTTTTTCTATTTTATTTCTTTATAATAATAATTCTATTAGGGATACTATAACCATCTTTTTGTCCAGGTGTATTGTACTTATGATTCGGAATATGCTAGAGGTACAGTACTGAACCAGTACCTCAAGGTTCATTTTCGTTTCATCTACAGGACGATCTCCTATTTGTTTAAATTTCGGAACGAAACAAAATCAGTCAGGGTTAAATCCGGACGTTATTTGAGGTGATATAACTCAAAGAGTTTACCTACACTCTAGTGATATTGTCACTTCACTTTTATTGATTATAAAACCTAACCATTTAAAGATCGGATTCTGATAAGTTACATATAAGCTAAGGAATATGTAAGATATAAAATGTAACGTATTTTTTACAGATTTTTGCTTACAGAATCAATCAATATGATATGTTTTAGTGGGATTAAATAATAATTCAAATCGATTAAAATTCGTAGTTCTAAAAAAAAAGGTATTCATCAGGAACTAGATGTAGGTATCGTAGCAAATAAAACAGGGCACAAAACTGATCTTTGTTGCATAATTCAAAATTTAGTTTGTTTTTTTTCTGTTAATAATTGCTAATTATTATTGAGATTATATTTATTTAAATGTTAATTATACTAAATTATAAACCAATATTGTAAATAACTTCCTGTGATTAGGTGTAAATGTGTTAGAAATAAACATTATCATTTCCAATTACAAATATATGCTTGCAAAAGGATAATTATTATTTATTCAACATTAATGATTAAATGTTATTTGTGAGTATTATGATTTCAAATATAAATTTGAATTAATGTATAGTTACGACAGACTTGCTACTGTTTTAATAGAACTTAATAGAAAATGGTGGTTTTCTTATTCTTCTCCAGACTTTTGGAAAATCCCTTGTATTCAAATAATTATGTTAATTCATGAAATATGAGCTGCAAAAAACATTCCATCGAATTCGAGTAGCGATATTGTTGAAAACATATATACTAGCATTATTTGAATAAATAACAATTTAACTTGCTTCTGTGTTTGATTTATTAGTTGAATATAATATATTTTGGTAAGTAAATGAAATATTTTACAAATAATTTAATTAAAATTTTATTGATTTGTATCTGCCAGGTCACAGAAAATTTGAATAAAATCTATAATGCTTATTTTGTCATGATTTTCCATAGTTGTTAAAAATTTATATATTAAAAATTTTCACATAATTTATCAATAGTTTATTTCCTATTCCATCCAATTCTTTTATAATTCCAGATTAAAAATGTCTGCACATCCGATGACAATAGAAATACTAGAGAATGATCCGCTTCAAGAAGTAAATTTAACAACCTTTTACGAACAAATGAAAACCATTTATGATACCCTAAATACGGTCCAATACTTTACAGATATAATTGAGATAATAATCACTATTTTTCTAATATTAGTTGATATATTCTTAATTGAAATTCTACGAGGCAACTCAAAGCTCAAAACGAAAGTCAATCAAATTATTTTGCATTATTCTGTAAGCCATATTCTGTTTTTATTCTGTCAGGTACTGGTTTATGATTTTTTTGTAGTAACTGGCCTTTTAGAATACGTTTCTATAACCATTTACAATATTGTATACATTTTACGGACTTTCGGTTTAGTCTTAAACTATACATTTTCTTTGGGCCTTGGAATAGAGTGGTTATGTACAGTTTATAATCCAAATTTTGGACAACACTGCAGAATTATTAATAAGTACTCAATAATAATGTTTTATTTAATTGGAGCTGGTTTATGTAGTATACAAATCAATTTCACGTATACTTACTGGTATATAAAATTAGATATATCAAAAGACGTATATTTAGTATGTCTAGTGTTTATACTGGTATGCAATTTATTGCAATACAAAAGAAGAAACGTAGCTAATAAAGATACTTACGTTTTATCCATAGCAAACGTTTTAATACTATATTGGGTACCAATATTTATTTATCACAAGATCTTAATACCTTGGACTTACGGTTCTTACACTCTGCACAGCTTATTATTGTTTACCATAGATATTGCAGATTGGTTCGCTTTTACTACACCAATTGCTGTGGTTATAATCTTAAGAAGACATGACGAACAATTTAGTAGGGCTATAAGCAGAAAAAGTATGTGGATATTGAAGAAATCTAACGAAAATTCTGATGAAGATGATAACGAGTTTAATGTAACTTCTGATACTAATATTTTTAATGTTTAAATAAAATATTAATTGTTTTATAGCATTTTATTTGGTTTCAACTACTTTTTATTTTGCTTCAATTTTTTTCATATTATTTTTTTGTAAACATATGATATGCTAACTCAAGAAGATGAGACGTTTAATTATATTTGCATGTGAAACTAAATGGTATTCAAATATTTATATGGAAAAAGATTTTAAATATGAATTTATTGAATTAATCTGACTTGTAACATAATTTTAGGATCTGCTATTGTTCTAAATATCATTCTACTTGTTTAATTGGAAAATTAAGGTTCTTTTATTATTTTACGGATATATAGAAGATCCCTCGTAATCTAGTAGAGTTGTATAATAGCTTGAAATTCGAGCTGAACAAAATTATTCAGTCGATTTTAAATACCGATATCGACGAAAACATTGTAACAGTTTTGTTTAATAACATTAATATTTAACTTGCTTCTGTGTTGTATTTATCAGTTGGGTATTATTTATTTTGGTAAGTAACAAGAACAGTTTACTAACAATCTAATTGAAATTTTTAACAGACTTCAAAAAGGGAGGAGGTTCTCAATTCGTCGGTATATATATTTTTTTATGTATGTATTCAGCGATAATTCTCTAACACGGTGTTCGATTTCAAAGATTAGAAAGTTAGAAAGAGGGTACTTCAGGGGTAGTCCCATATAAATTTGGTCAAAATCTAATAGTTTGGTCTATAAGAAAATCCTCAAACTCTTTTATGTATATTTAGCGATAATTTTTTATCGTCTACTCCGATTTCTATGATTCTTTTTTTGTTAGTAAGGAGGGTGCCTCAGGGGTGGTCCCATATAAATTTGGTCAAAATCTAATAATTGGGTCTATGAGGAAATCCTCAAAATCTTAATTTTTTTATGTATACGAGGGCGGATTGATATTGAGGCTACCTAAGTAGGAAGAAAACATTTTTTTTTTCAAAAAACATTTATTTCTCAACTTAGTCTCCTTTTAACTCAATACACTTAGTAAGACGATATTCCAACTTTTTTATACCATCTGAATAATACGATTTTGGGAACCCTTCAAAATACGCGTTAGTTTCGGTAATCACTTCTTCGTTTGAGATGAATCTTTTTCCTGCGAGCCATTTTTTCAAGTTTGGAAACAGAAAAAAGTCACTAGGAGCTAAATCTGGACTATAAGGTGGATGATCAACCAATTAGAAGTGTATTTCACGTAATTTTAGCTTCGTATCTAATGCTGTGTAAACCGGTGCGTTGTCTTGAAGAAAGAGCACTTTTTTCTTCTTTAAATGTGGTCGTTTTTTCTTGATTGTATCAATCAATTGATCCAATAATGCACGATAATATTTTCCTGTGATTGTGGATCCTTTTTCAAGATAATCGATGAGCAATATTCCGTGTGAATCCCAAAATACAGTGGCCATAACCTTGCCAGCCGATTTCACTGTCTTCGCCTTCTTCGGAGCACTTCCACCAGCTTCCACCCATTGTTTCGATTGATTTTTGGTTTCAGGTGTGTAGTGGTGGACCCACGTTTCATCAACAGTTATTAATCGATGCCAAAAATCAACAAAATTACGCTTTATCATGTCCAAACACCGCTGTGAATTTACTTTTTTCCATTTTTCAAGAAACACAAAAGTTGCTTACTTCAAACGATTACAACAAATAAACTAATTGATGAATTTGGGTGAAATTTTAACAACTGAAGTTTGACAGGTCGCAATTTCTGAAAAAAAAAAGTTTTTGTGTTTGCGCTGCTATCTAGCGCTAGGTAGCTTCAATATCAATCCGCCCTCGTATTTAGCGATAATTCTTTATCATCTTCTCCGATTTCTATGATTGTTCTTTTGCCTCAGGGGTGGACCCATATAAATTTGGTCAAAATCGAAAAATTGGGTCCATGATAAAATTTTCACGTTTCATTTTTTATATATGTTTAGCGATAATTCTTTACCACCTTGTCCGATTTCTATGATTCTTTTTTGTTAGTAAGGAGGGTGCCTTAGGGGTGGTCCCATATAAATTTGGTCAAAATCTAATAATTGGGTCTATGAGAAAATCCTCAAACTCTTTTATGTATATTTAGCGATAATTCTATATCATCTCCGATTTCTATGAAGCTTTTTTTGTTTCGTCAACATATAATAATTGTGTCCATGAGAAAATCCTCAAACTCTTCAATTTTTATGTATATTTAGCGCTAATTCTTTACCACCTTGTCCGATTTCTACGATTCTTTTTTTGTTAGTAAGGGAGTACATCAGGGGTGGTCGCATATAAATTTGGTTAAGATGTGGCGATAGAATCTGCATGATTTTGAAGTCAGTTTTTTAATATTACGTAGACAATTCAGTCAACTGCTTCTTTTGTCAGTGTTTTAATCATTTTTTTTTTAATTAAGTCTAATTTTCTGTTACAAATGAACTGTCATAAAAATGTTTACATAATATATCAATATCTTATATACTATTCCACCCAAACCTTGTAAAATGCATTTTAATTTTTCCAGATTCACAATGTCTGCACATCCGATGACAATAGAAATACTAGAGAATGATCCGTTACAAGAAGCAAATTTAACAACCTTTTACCAACAAATGAAATCCACATATGAGACTCTAAGTACTGTCAGCTATTTCACAGATATAATCAAGATTATAATCATAATTTTTGTAATATTAGTTGATATATTCTTAATCGATATACTACGATGTAACTCAAAGCTGAAAACAAAAGTCAATCAAATTATTTTGCATTACTCTGTAAGTCATATTCTGTTTACAATCTGTCATACATTGGTTTTTGACTTTATCATTGTAACTGGCCTTATATTATATCTTCCTTCGATACTATTCGATATTCTATACTTTTTTCAGAATTTCGGTTTACTGTTGAATTATATATTTTCTTTTGGTCTTGGAATGGAGTGGTTATGCACAGTTTATAACCCATATTTTGGACAACACTGTAAAACTATTAATAATTACTCGATAATTATGTTTTATTTAATAGGAGCTGGGTTATGCGGTATACAAGTAGGTTTCATGTTTACTTCCTACTGGTATGTAGAATCGATTATTCCAAAAATGATATATTTAGTTTGTCTAATGTTTATATTAGTATGCAACTTATTTCAATACAAGAGACGAAATATAGCTAATAAAGATACTTATGTTTTATCCATAGCAAACGTTTTAATATTATTTTGGGTACCATTGTTTATTTATGACGAGTTTTTAATGTATTGGACTTACGGTTCTTACATTCTGTACACCATAGCTTTGTTTACCATTGATATTCCACAATGGTTAACTTTTATTACACCCATTGCCGTGGTTATCATATTAAGAAGACATGACGAACAATTTAGAAGAGCCATAGATAGAAGAAGCATGTGGTTACTGAAGAATTCTGACGAAAATTCAGAAGAAGACGATGAACAAAATAATGTAACTTCTGATACAAATATTTTTAATGTTTAAATAAAATATTAACCTTATTTTATTAAATTTTATTTGTTATTTCTTATTTTGTTGCATCTTTTTATTTTCTTGCCAGCATATATTATGATGAGCATGTTGATGGTAGTGAGAACAAACATCGTTTATATGTAAATGAAAAATGGAAGGACTGAATATCATACCTTGTGGGACACCGTATTTTGGCAAATGTAATATTATATTCATTTGATATTTTAACGGATTTCATTAAAAAAATATTTCAATTAATTTTGACGAATTTTTATATTGAATTATTAAATAAATGTAACACAAACATAATTTTTTGTTTAAATAAAGAAACATACTGTGTAATATGAGATCTAAAAAGAACAGATACAAAAACAGACAATGTTTAATTGTTGCTATTATTTAACATAAAAGAGTATGAGTTTACTAGTTTAAAATTATTTGTTTTTCAAAAGTGTGAAATAAACTTGTGTGAGTAAAATTTTTGTTACGAGGGTTGCATTTTATATTTCGGTATTAGAGAACAAAAAACAAATATTTATTATCGAAAATAGATCTATTGTTTATCAAAATATCTTACATGAAGATCAATACACCTTTAAACCCATCCAACTACTTTTTCAGTCATTGACCTTGCAATTAATTTTTGAAAGAACTCATTGGGTGTCAAACCAGGACTATACGGCTAATAACCTACCAATTCGACGTCTTGAGTAGACTTCGCTTTTTGTGTCTCTCCCTTAAATTAAAATTACAATTAATTTTAAATCGATGTTAGAAATACCCTGCACTATAGAAAATGATGTTTGCTTTTTGATAGGTCTAGTTTTAATTTTCTATTCCTATTGGCTTTTACATAATGGGTATTTTTCCAAATTTTATCTCGTTTTTTGTGTCTCTCCCTTAAATTAAAATTACAATTAATTTTAAATCGATGTTAGAAACACCCTATACTATAGAAAATGATGTTTGCTTTTTGATAGGTCTAGTTTTAATTTTCTATCCCTATTAATTTTTACATAAGGGGTATTTTTCCAAATTTTATCTCGTTTTTTGTGTCTCTCCCTAAAATTAAAAATATAATTAATTTTAAATCGATGTTAGAAATACCCTATACTATAGAAAATGATGTTTTCTTTTTGATAGGTCTAGTTTTAATTTTCTATCCCTTTTAATTTTTACATAATGGGTAGTTTTATAAATTTTATCTCGTTTTTTGTCTAAAAATTTCGAAAAATACCCATTATGTAAAAACCAATAGGGAAAGAAAATTAAAACTAGACCTATCAAAAAGAAAACATTATTTTCTATAGTATAGGGCATTTCTAATATTGATTTAAAATAATTGTAATTTTAATTTAAGGGAGAGACTCAAAAAAAAAATTTCGCTTTTTGTGTCTCTCCCTTAAATTAAAATTACAATTAATTTTAAATCGATGTTAGAAATACCCTATACTATAGAAAATGATGTTTGCTTTTTGATAGGTCTAGTTTTAATTTTCTATCCCTATTAGTTTTTACATAATGGGTATTTTTCCAAATTTTATTTCGTTTTTTGTGTCTCTCCCTTAAATTAAATTTACAATTAATTTTAAATCGATGTTAAAAATACCTTATACTATAGAAAATGATGTTTTCTTTTTGATAGGTATAGTTTTAATTTTCTATCCCTTTTAATTTTTACATAATGGGTAGTTTTCCAAATTTTATCTCGTTTTTTGTGCTTCTCCCTTAAATTAAAATTACAATTAATTTTAAATCAATGTTAGAAATACCTTATACTATAGAAAATGATGTTTTCTTTTTGATAGGTATAGTTTTAATTTTCTATCCCTTTTAATTTTTACATAATGGGTAGTTTTCCAAATTTTATCTCGTTTTTTGTGTCTCTCCTTTAAATTAAAATTACAATTAATTTTAAATCGATGTAAGAAACACCCTATACTATAGAAAATGATGTTTGCTTTTTGATAGGTCTAATTTTAATTTTCTATCCCTATTAATTTTTACATAAGGGGTATTTTTCCAAATTTTATCTCGTTTTTTGTGTCTCTCCCTTAAATTAAAATTATAATTAATTTTAAATCGATGTTAGAAATACCCTATACTATAGAAAATGATGTTTTTTTTTTGATAGGTCTAGTTTTAATTTTCTGTCCCTTTTAATTTTTACATAATGGGTAGTTTTCCAAATTTTATCTCGTTTTTTGTCTAAAAATTTCGAAAAATACCCATTATGTAAAAACCAATAGGGAAAGAAAATTAAAACTAGACCTATCAAAAAGAAAACATTATTTTCTATAGTATAGGGCATTTCTAATATTGATTTAAAATTAATTGTAATTTTAATTTAAGGGAGAGACTCAAAAAAAAATTTCGCTTTTTGTGTCTCTCCCTTAAATTAAAATTACAATTAATTTTAAATCGATGTTAGAAATACCCTATACTATAGAAAATGATGTTTGCTTTTTGATAGGTCTAGTTTTAATTTTCTATCCCTATTAGTTTTTACATAATGGGTATTTTTCCAAATTTTATTTCGTTTTTTGTGTCTCTCCCTTAAATTAAAATTACAATTAATTTTAAATCGATGTAAGAAATACCCTATACTATAGAAAATGATGTTTGCTTTTTGATAGGTCTAGTTTTAATTTTCTATCCCTATTAGTTTTTACATAATGGGTATTTTTCCAAATTTTATTTCGTTTTTTGTGTCTCTCCCTTAAATTAAATTTACAATTAATTTTAAATCGATGTTAAAAATACTTTATACTATAGAAAATGATGTTTTATTTTTGATAGGTCTAGGTTTAATTTTCTATCCCTATTGGTTTTTACATAATGGGTATTTTTCCAAATTTTATCTCGTTTTTTGTGTCTCTCCCTTAAATTAAATTTACAATTAATTTTAAATCGATGTTAGAAATACCCTATACTATAGAAAATGATGTTTTCTTTTTGATAGGTCTAGGTTTAATTTTCTATCCCTATTGGTTTTTACATAATGGGTATTTTTCCAAATTTTATCTCGTTTTTTGTGTCTCTCCCTTAAATTAAATTTACAATTAATTTTAAATCGATGTTAGAAATACCCTATACTATAGAAAATGATGTTTTCTTTTTGATAGGTCTAGTTTTAATTTTCTATCCCTTTTAATTTTTACATAATGGGTAGTTTTCCAAATTTTATCTCGTTTTGTGTGTCTCTCCCTTAAATTAAAATTACAATTAATTTTAAATCGATGTTAGAAATACCCTATAATATAGAAAATGATGTTTGCTTTTTGATAGGTCTAGTTTTAATTTTCTATCCCTATTAATTTTTACATAAGGGGTATTTTTCCAAATTTTATCTCGTTTTTTGTGCCTCTCCCTTAAATTAAAATTATAATTAATTTTTAATCGATGTTAGAAATACCCTATACTATAGAAAATGATGTTTTCTTTTTGATAGGTCTAGTTTTAATTTTCTATCCATTTTAATTTTTACATAATGGGTAGTTTTCCAAATTTTATCTCGTTTTTTGTCTAAAAATTTCGAAAAATACCCATTATGTAAAAACCAATAGGGAAAGAAAATTAAAACTAGACCTATCAAAAAGAAAACATTATTTTCTATAGTATAGGGCATTTCTAATATTGATTTAAAATTAATTGTAATTTTAATTTAAGGGAGAGACTCAAAAAAAAAATTTCGCTTTTTGTGTCTCTCCCTTAAATTAAAATTACAATTAATTTTAAATCGATGTTAGAAACAACCTATACTATAGAAAATGATGTTTGCTTTTTGATAGGTCTAGTTTTAATTTTCTATCCCTATTAATTTTTACATAAGGGGTATTTTTCCAAATTTTATCTCGTTTTTTGTGCCTCTCCCTTAAATTAAAATTATAATTAATTTTTAATCGATGTTAGAAATACCCTATACTATAGAAAATGATGTTTTCTTTTTGATAGGTCTAGTTTTAATTTTCTATCCCTTTTAATTTTTACATAATGGGTAGTTTTCCAAATTTTATCTCGTTTTTTGTCTAAAAATTTCGAAAAATACCCATTATGTAAAAACCAATAGGGAAAGAAAATTAAAACTAGACCTATCAAAAAGAAAACATTATTTTCTATAGTATAGGGCATTTCTAATATTGATTTAAAATTAATTGTAATTTTAATTTAAGGGAGAGACTCAAAAAAAAATTTCGCTTTTTGTGTCTCTCCCTTAAATTAAAATTACAATTAATTTTAAATCGATGTTAGAAATACCATATGCTATAGAAAATGATGTTTGCTTTTAAAAAGGTCTAGTTTTAATTTTCTATCCCTATTGGTTTTTACATAATGGGAATTTTTCCAAATTTTATCTCGTTTTTGTGTAGTTCTAGTTTGAATTTTCTATCTCTTTTGGTTTTACATAATGGGCATTTTTACTATTGACTTTCTGGCGGTCAGGGTATGAACTTTTTGATCGATATGAACCTCGTAACAGCTGTTAAACAAATTGATTTTAATTCCTGTCAATAGCTGTCGATTTTATTGCATGGTTAATTTAAAGCAGACGTTAATAAAGTTATACCGATATACAAGTTTTATAAATAAGTGTTTCAAGAAGGACGAAATCCTATTTTATATCAATAAATATTTTACACTTTTAAATTCAAACGTAGTAAACGTTTGATGTTACTGATTGAAAATTAGGATTCTGGTGTTACTAAGAGACAAATTAAATATACCATTAACCTTTTACATTTTTTTGTTTAAGATACTTTTTAAAATAAACATAAAAAGCGGAACAAAAATGTCGCCATCTACACAACCAGCTTAATTCTAAAAATATATACCTAATATAACTTATTGCGAATTTTAGAAGTGATCTAAAAAAAAAAATAGCCTGTAGCGAGTTAGCAAATAATGATGAAATTAAACAGCATCGTAGTAATTTTCTTAAATACCTTTTTATGCTCCTCAATTTGAACTGTGTAGGTTTGGAAGCCGTCATTAAATTGGTTAAAGTGTGTGACGAATTGTGTCTAGTGACAATAGCGCTGCCCGTGGTTTTGTGCTACATATCCATCCGTAAGTACGTACCAATTTATTTGTTTATATTTGGATTGTATAATATTTTTTTTTTTTTTATTGGAATTATGTATTCGAGGAGTATACGCGTATTAGTTTTGGAACTGTTTAATATCAATAGCATTTGCGTGGGGTTTTATTATTATAGTTTTGATTTTTTTTAATAGTTTTAAAAATCTAATAGATGATTTAACATCGTTAAGCATAATTTAATAAAACTTTAAATAAATATTTATTATATCAAATAAATTTAGCTATAGCGAACTGAATAATAAATAAACATAGTAATAATAAAATAATGACAAACAGTACAATACAAATCAAGGACAGGAAGTAACATATTGCAGACTGTTTTTCCGTTTTTTGACGATAATTTTTTTGGACCAAAAATGGCGGCGGATATACATTACTCAAAAAGTGTTACTTCTATATGTCGGTGTGAAATTGTTACACAGAACCTTTGTATGTAGAACTTATGTAGTGTAGAGGCCCAGTATAAGAATTCTAACAGTAATGAAACTCGCTGGGAAGGAGAAAGACGCCCAGCTTTTATTGTGCTGACGTTTTCGGGATATAATCTATCACTTGTCATAAATCCGGTTAAAAACTCGCTACCATGCGCAGGCAACCCATATATCGTACAGAAATACAAACTTTTGTTTACATTTTATCGAAGTAGTTTTTGTAGTACATTCACAGCTTAAAAATGGAAAATTTGTTATTTTGATAGTGGATTTAGATCAAAAATACCACAAATACACTTCAGTGTGTGTTTTATTCTTATTGTTACGTATTATTGCTTATTTGATTTGAGGACATTAGAATAAATAGAGTACTAGAAGTAATCAAGCTAAAAAGGTGTGTTATAAAAAGAAATTACATTGTATTTAACTGATTAATGTTTAATATGTTTTCGTGAAGTATTTACAACATGTCAGTTACTTGAATGGTTGTAAATTGAAAAAGTATAATTGATAGAAACTGATCTAGTGCTTTGTGCTTCCTTGTTTTTTTGTTGATGTCCCAGCCCAGCATTCCTAGCCAGCATTAGTAGCAAAAACATTAACATTGTCTACATTCAACCCATTTACATGTACATGATTTATCAGCTAAAAGCAGAACACAATAGTTCTCTGCAAAGTATATACAACACTACAAGAAAAATTGCTTATGTATAAATTCAACAATTAAATCAAAATATATTATATCTAAAGGACTTATATCAACTATTATGTTAATTATGAATAATATAATAAAAATATTTGTAACAAAAATATATTGTTTATTGATTATCAGGTATCAAAAATATGTGTACCTATAGAAATTTGTTGAAATATGTTCTCTTGCTCTTAATCTTTTTAGTAGGTTCTTATTATAGTTTTAAATGAAAATCAGCACTTTTTAACACTTGCAAACATATCGTCGCCCTTCTCACGAAGTGGCATAAGTAGCAAATAGTAAATTTTACAGGAGAGCAATAAAACTAAAAAAGTAATTCTCAGGTTGACATAATGTAGAGGGATTTAGAGTTTGCGCTTTCAAAATTTTATCATGGAATGCTAAGACCTTGTTTTATTGTTTGGTAATTCCAGATTGGCCAAACTCCCTCGGGATTTTTTAGAATAGTTCTTCAGGAAAATATTCTGCGGTATTGCAGATAAGACACCTAAGTAATATGCTGTATTGCATGCACTATTAAGGTTGTAGATGTGCTACTTCATGAGATGATAAAGTAGGTCAAGACTAGTTAATTCGCATAAAAAAACCTTTTTAAATTTTTGTTGGTTAGGTCACTTCGTGATAAGGGCTAAGGATCCGTAGTTTCTTAATTTTTAACATTAGACACAAGATCTGTGATGTCACATTAAATCGTGAATATGAGGTAAAGGATTTGGGAGTTGTCTTTCAGTCTAATTTGAAGTTCAATAACCATTTCTTACACATAACTAAAAAATCAATAAAAGCTTTGGGTTTTTAAATCTGATATACGAAAAATTTTAGGATTACCACCAAAATCAGATTATATAATGCCTTAGTAATACCCCATCTTTAGTATGTTTCACAAATATGGATTCCCTTGAAAGCCAGATATACTGATCATATTGAAAAGAGACAAAAAATATTTTTACGTTACTTTTATGTCATAAAAACAACTCGTACCCTTATAAGTTCTCATATAAAATTATGCTCGATATCTTTAAGATTAAATCTCTTTTACAAAGAAGAAAGCAACAAGTTGTGATATATTTTGTACTCTATTTTAAATAATGTTAAGTACAAATATTGTGATTTGATTGACTATACATTACATATGCTTACATATATACAATAAAAATATATCAAATTAAAATTTAATGAGGAAGCACAGTTTTAGTATCTAAAATCTCGTACTTCCCCCGTATACATATATAAAAAAATATCTTGATGGAGTTTTTAAATTGTAATTTTACATATCGTCTTTATTAGATAAAGAAATGATATCTTATTTGATTTTCTCACGATTCAGTTATTCTCAATAAAAATTTAATAAGATTTTTCCCCTTATTGAATTAAAGTCATTTGATACTCTGTATGAATTGATCCAATTTAATCAACAAAAAGTATTGGATTCTAATTATTTTTTGCTTAGATTAACATCTATTTTTGCGAATGTCACCAATGAGTAATCTCAAATTACTATCATAAGAATAATAATTTAGATCAGTAACTAAATTGGTTTAGGCCGGATTTAAACAAGTTTAAAGCTTTACTAGTTTACCTTTATTGTTAATTTTTTAAACAATTATGTAAATATAATAATTTTGTTGCATTTCAGAAAAGCGATGAGCGAAAACTCAGCCTGGGAAGACGATCCGCATTTAGAAAAATCCCACAACCATGGAAGGGATTGGTTGGAATACTTAGCCCTAACAACAGACTATCTCAGCATACCTCTATGCGCTCTAGCAGTCCTGGCAGATATCTTGTTAATATTCGTCATCATGCGTTACAGAAGATTGAAAAACAGAACCAACTTTTTCCTGATAAATTTCGCAATTTTCCACATTTTGTATATCATTTCTACGCCTCTGTTTTACATAATTCTGGATATTTTTTACGAAAATGGTATGGATGTTAGCTGGTACTGCACCTGGTCGAGAATAGAGAATTATGGAATGGCTTTATTGCTTACTTTTATAGCCGGTTTTGGTCTAGATGTCGTTCTTGAACAAATGAAACCTAAATGGTACGATAAGTATCAAAAGCGGTACCTTTATGTATTCGGTTTCTTCTATTTTTTACATACGATGATCTACGCTATAACTGCGAGTATTTGCTTTAAAGAAGGACTCAAAAATGGCTTCAATTTTTATTTCATGACTATTTATTATCTTCTGATTGTTATACTTCTTTTATATTTAGGTATTAATAACAGAGAAGGAAAATTCGTTAAAACCAAAGCCTATGCATTGAACATTTCAATAGCTGTCCATTTAGCTTGGCTGCCTCTATTCGTTTGTTATAATTTGATAAATATTTTGAAAAATAGGCAAATTGAAGTCGTGCTTTGGTATTTAGCATTTTTACCTGAATATTTGGCTTACATTTGTTCTATTATTGTAGTATATAAGTTATGGAAAAATAATAAACAATTTAAAACAGCTTTTAGAAAGATTTTTAAAAGGCACGTATCTCTTGCTGATTATGAAGAATTATTTATGTCTGAAAATAAAGATAACATTGAAGCTAGAATTATATGACTTTTAAATTGTTTGCTTGATTCGAAGTTTGCTTTATTTATTGACTGGTTTTATATGTGTTATATGCAGTTAAAAAAATTAAAATATTTTTCTGTATCGAAAATTTACCAAAGAAATTTTAATAAATAAAATCTTAAATCATTTAGTAAGTTTTTTTATCTCTTTATTACTTTAGAATTTTCAATTTTTTTACTATACGCAGTGTGTAGCAAAAAAATATGTACCATTTTAGAAAAAACTTGTTTATTACTGTGATCCCATTATGAGTTGGTGCATAATATAAATTTTTGTACCAAATTCAAGAGAGGTAAAAATTATGAATTTGGTTTTATTTAAAATATAAGTAATAGTGATTTGATTATGTATGGCTTCATAGTTCTAAAGCTCACATTAAATCGATTTATTTGACAGAACAATTTATATAGCATTATTCTAAATCATAGTACGACCACTGGTTAGCCAGTACATTTAAACGTTCTTTCTAGAGTCAACTAGAATTTCATAGAAATATTATAGTAATCAAATATTTCCAAAAACTGTTTACGAATGATTCAGTTCTCTATAATTCAATGTCAAGATTAAAACATTATTTTTTTAGTTCTTAATTATATATAATGACCCAATTTGTTGGATGCTACAAACTACAGATAAAAGTGAACAGTTACATTAGCCACAATATAGTTCAGATCCATCTGACCAAATTATTTGTTGAAGTGTCATTGGATGATTTTGTTCTTTTATTGGTAAGCAAGCTTGCATGTAAAACCATACGTTTGGTTATTTTAATATTAATACCAGAGCCGTACTATGTTAGATTTTACTGAATGATCATTTTTATGAATGATCGTTTTAATAAATAATAACACAGGGGAGCAGCTGTTTTTAAGATATACAATTTTAGAGAAATATAAGTTACATTATTTTAACTCAAATCCGTAAGTTTAGTAAACAAAAGTAGATACGAAATTTTTATTTTAGGTATACAAAATAAAATATTATGTCGTACTTACAAACAAAAGAAACATTGAAGAAATCAAATAGTCACTCAACACTTCGAAAGCTTCTTTTCCGCGACATTCTTGAATGTTTTTTTAAACTCCAGCAGTAATGTGCCATCATGTGCATGTCCCATCTGGTAGCTGATGAACTGTTGGAATCGGTATTTCATCTGAGTGCGGGATAGGGCGTATTGCCGAGTCTACCATGGGATAAGTCCATTTACTGCGGTTATTTCGATTGATTCCTTTATTATTTACTAAACAGAAATAATAATCGTTGAAGTGGTTGTTTGGTTCTCTCCAAACCATTGGTATGCCGAATTTTATACATTTTCTTTTCCCGGTAGTCCACTGCCGTAAATGCTCTGTCACTTTTTGTCCTGATCATCAAGGTTAACCCCAAAATATCCAAGATACGCTCGCTTTACAAAGTCAGTAATAGTTTGTCTGTTTTGTTGAAACATGTATTCTTCGCATATATAGCAAAACACATCAGGTTGATTTACACAACTTCTTCTTGATCTGCAACCTGAACTCATTTTAATTCTGTTCAATAACACGAAAACACTCTTTTCTTAATATAAAATAACATGCCGAATTCGATCTACTCTCATTAGTAAAAACGCACAAACTGACGAGACTTAAAAAGGTCAGTTCAGGTACCTGATAGGCAATGGTTCCACTATTTATAGATTTACCTGGAATTTACTCAATTACAGACTGACAATAAAACCATTAATGAATGAATATATAATGAATATATAATAATTTTAGAACTTTCATGAATGAATATACTGAATAAAAACCACATAGGTAGATAAGTTGATGTATCTAAAAAAAGTGGGGCTGATAGAGAAAAACGGATTGCATGTACAGATTTAACGTCCCAAATATAGTTAAAATCAGCTCTAAAATCCCAGGCACCAAAAAAATATTTTTTTGTTGCCCTGTGTATTGATACGATTCTTTTATTTTGTATGTTTCCACAAGAATAGTAAATTATAAAAAATGTACTTTTTGTTAAACGTCAAAGTCGCATTTTAACACCTCTTTAAAAATAATCATTTCAAAGTAATCCGATTAAATATTGTCAGAAGTAAGTTAGTGAATATAAAAATATTTTTAGCCAAAAACGGTATCTCAAAAAAACGACTATTTTTATTTTTGAATGTCTTCGGATAGCTTGAAAAATTCCACATCAGATGATCTAAGTGAAATAGCAAAATCACAGTCACAGTTGATAAGAAGTTCTGCATGGTCCAAAACTTAAAATACAATTATCAGATATCAATTTTTTTAAGCCGTATACGGGGTTTGTCAAAAAATATGAATTTACTCAAGAGTAAAGTACCTTATTTTTTAAAATACAGAAGAATGTTATAAAGTTATTTAAAATTGAAAGTTATATCCAAATATGCAAATACAGTCATTTAGGTTAGGTGATTATTTACGTTCTACATTATAAATTACTTGTAGCTATAAATAAATAATCACCAAACCTGAATTTTAATGCTAAATAAGTATAATTCCATATTTTTGATTCAAAATACCTCTATTTTATAACATTCTCCTGTATTGTAAAAAATAAAGGTACTTTACTCTTTATTTTTTGACAAACCTCGTATACGGCTTAAAAAAATTGATATCTGATAGTTGCATTTTAAGTGTTGGACTATGTAGGACTTTTTATCACAAATGAATTTTTTCATAAAACCAATAATAAAAAGGTTTCCCATACCTGTATGTGACAAAACATCCAAATCTCGTGGTGAATAAATGCGAAGTTGCCAAGTTATAGATGATTTAATTTTCATTTAACTTTAGTTAAAATCAGTTGTGGAGAAACGTTGCCATGGTAACGACTAAACAAAAACCCAAATCATGTGGTGAGGAAACGCGTAATTGTCAAGTTATAGATGATTTAATTTAGCCTAAATCAGTTAAGGACAAACTGTTGCCATAGGGACAATTGTCATTGTAACAACTAAACAAAAACTTAAATCTCTAAATGAAAAAATGCATATTTGCCAAATTATAGATGATATAATCTAACTTTCGTTTAGCTGAAAGACATTTTTCATGCGAGCCATGTACTAGCTAGCATGAGAATTGCCTTCTACCTATTACTTTTATTTTGTATTGATATTATATTGCGCTAAGTAATTAAAACGGTTGTATTATTTAAAATTCTTCAATGTTAATACTTTTTAGATAAAAACTTTTTGAAACACACATATTTTTTAATTAGGGCTCCAACAGATATACATATTTCTGTATAAAAGTAATTTGAAAAAAATTATGTCATAGTTTGGTCCAATGCGTATAGGATGCCCCCTCCCCACCCTGTATATGTTACAAATGGCATTATATTCGTTCTAATTTTAATGGGGTAATAATATTTATGATTGTATTATTATGTTAGTCCATTACCTTGGTCTTAAACCATTGGTCCTGGTCCGTTGGAGAGCATATGTAGGGCTGTGTAATCAACACGAAGAGGCCATTTGGTAAGGGATACATGTGGCGGATAAAACCCTCGACAGCATCTTATGATATACCAGGATATTATAATTGTTTATATATTACTAATAAGTAATAATTACTATTATTTTCCTGTGATAAGCACTACAATAACAGAATATAAGCACTGGTCTATCTTGCAATTAGTTACATTTAGGATGGTATAACTCGAAACGGACAAGTAATTGAGATGAGTCGTAATGAAGAAAAATGTTCTCCTTAAAAAGATCTTTCAATTGATATATAATTCATCCTTATTGGAGGTGGGGCAATCACAGTCAGAACATTTAAAAAAAACATGACTTTACATATATCTCAACTTTGTTTGTATTTACTAAAATGCTTATAGGAGTATGACCTCTTATCTCTGGGTTAGGGCCGCCGAGAGCAAGGTCGGGCCCCAGGACAATTCTCCAGATAGGGCTCCGTGACAATTTTATAAAAAAATTCTCCTCCTCTGTGCCGAAATTCTGAAAAAAAAAAAGAAAATCCTCGCCACGGTTGCCGAGCCCCCCCACCCTTATAGCGCTGCCGGGCCCCCATTTGAGTCCGGAAATTAGTCCCGGCTGCCCCCTCCTCTTGTCGGCCCTGCTCTGGGTATGCCATTATTACTAAGCTAAATGGCTGCATATCCAAATACGACACAAGAGCTTTTAAAATAATATTTAATATCAAAAAATAATTTAAATCAATCCAGCGGTACCGTAATAATTTTTTTGTCTCGAGGAGACGTGAAAACGACTTTTACAAAATGTGTTTTTTCTAGAACTGAGATACAGCTTTTTAGCTTAGGAGGACAGTATTAAAATATAGAACCGGTGTGAAGTTAGCAGCCACTTTCCAGCAGCCCGTTTACCGGAAACACCCGAGTTACCAGTGGCGTCGAAATATATTTTTCTGTGTAGTTAACTATGTATTGAAATAAAATTACTATTAAATTTTTAAGAAACAAATAAAAAGTGTTTAGATGTTTCTATAAAGATAACATAATATTGAAATAAAAATAGTGTCAAATTGTTAAAAACTATAAAATACAACCTAAAAAAATTAACAAAATCACTTAGGAAGGGGATGAGGAGGTCAAATTAAATAAAATTCCATTAAAATTCTATTTAAAAATTAATTTGCCTATGAAGACAATTGGGTATTGAAATAAAGTTAGTGCCAAATTGTTAGAAACTATAAAATACAATCTAAAAAAAAATAACAAAATCACTTAGGAAGGGGATGACGGGGTCAAATTAAATAAAATTCCATTAAAAATCTATTTAAAAATTAATTTGCCTATGAAGACATTTGGGTATTAAAATAAAGTTAGTGCCAAATTGTTAGAAACTATAATATACAACCTAAAAAAATTAACAAAATTACTTAGAAATAGGATGAGGGGGTCAAATTAAATAAAATTCTAATAAAAATCTATTTAAAAATTAATTTGCCTAAGAAGACAATCTAGTATTAAAATAAAATTAGTGCCAATTTGTTAGAAACTATAATATACAACCTAAAAAATTTAACAAAATTAATTAGGAAGGGGATCAGGGGGTCAAACTAAATAAAAGTCCATTAAAAATCTAATTAAAAATTAATTTGCCTATGAAGACAATTGGGTATTGAAATAAAGTTAGTGCCAAATTGTTAGAAACTATAATATACAACCTAAAAAAATTAACAAAATTACTTAGAAATGGGATGAGGGGGTCAAATTAAATAAAATTCTAATAAAAATCTATTTAAAAATTAATTTGCCTTCTTAGGCAATCTAGTATTAAAATAAAATTAGTGTCAAATTGTTAGAAACCATAATATACAACCTAAAAAATTTAACAAAATTACTTAGGAAGGGGATGACGGGGTCAAATTAAATAAAATTCCATTAGAAATTTAATTAAAAATTAATTTGCCTATGAAGACAATTGGGTATTGAAATAAAGTTAGTGCCAAATTGTTAGAAACTATAATATACAACCTAAAAAAATTAACAAAATTACTTAGAAATGGGATGAGGGGGTCAAATTAAATAAAATTCTAATAAAAATCTATTTAAAAATTAATTTGCCTAAGAAGACAATCTAGTATTAAAATAAAATTAGTGCCAAATTGTTAAAAACTATAATATACAACCTAAAAAATTTAACAAAATTACTTAGGAAGGGGATGAGGGGGTCAAATTAAATAAAATTCTATTAAAAATCTAATTAAAAATTAATTTGCCTATGAAGACA